TCCAGGCCTGTGTGTGTGTGTAGAAGCCTCTGTGTATGTGTGTAGAGGCGTTTGTGTGTGTGTGTGTATAGAAGCCTCTGTGTGTGTGTAGAACCCTCTGTGTGTATACATTTGTAGAGACCTGTGTGTGTGTGTATTGGCCTCTGTGTTTGTGTGTATAGATATGTGTTTATGTGTGTAGGAGCCTCTCTGTGGGTGTGCATGTGTGTAGGGGTCTCTGTGTGTGTGTTTGTGTGTGTAGAGCCCTCTGTGTGTGTTTATAGGCCTCTATGTTTGTGTGTGTAGAGGCCTCTGTGCGTATGAAGAGGCCTATGTGTATGTGTGTGTATATGTAGAGCCCTCTGTGTGTGTGTATGTGTAGAGGTCTCTGTTTCTGTGAGTGTTCAGAAGCCTCTTTGTGTTAAAACTCTATGTGTGTTTCTGTAGAGGCCTCTGTATGTGTGTAGAGACCTGTGTGTGTGTGTGTGTGTGTGTGTGTGTGTGTGTGTGTGTGTGTGTATAAGGCCTCCATGTGAGTGTGTAGAGGCCTCTGGGTGCATTTGTGTTTGTAGAGGCCTCTGTGTCTGTGTGTATGTGTGTGTGTGCTAAGGGCCTCTAACTGTGTGTGTAGAGGCCTCTATTTGTGTGTGTGTGTGTGTAGAGGCCTCTATGTGTGTGGGTGTGTGTGTGTGTAGAGGTCTGTGTGTGTAGAAGCCTCTGTGAGTGTGTGTGTTTGTAGAGGCCTCTGTGTGTGTAGAAGCCTCTGTGAGTGTGTGTGTTTGTAGAGGCCTCTGTGTGTGTGTGTACAGGCCTTTGTGTGTGTGTGTAGAAGCTTCTATGTATCTGTGTAGTGGCCTTTGTGTGTGTGTCTATAGAGGCCTCTGTGTGTGTGTGTAGAAGCCTCGGTGAGTGTGTGTGTTTGTAGAGGCCTCTGTGTGTGTGTAGAAGCCTCTGTGAGTGTGTGTGTTTGTAGAGGCCTCTGTGTGTATGTGTACAGGCCTTTGTGTGTGTGTGTGTGTGTGTGTAGAAGCCTCTGTGTATCTCTGTAGTGGCCTTCTATAGAAGCCTCTGTGTGTGTAGAAGCCTCTTTGTGTGTGTGCGCGTGTGTAGAGTCCTCTGTATGTGTGTTTCGTTGCCTCTGTGTGCGTGTTGTGTGTAGAGGCCTCTGTGTGTGTGTATTTGTAGTGTCCTCTGTGTGTGTGTGTACAGAAGCTCTTTGTATGTGTGTAGAGAACTCTGTGGATGTATGTGTGTAGAGGACTCTGTGTGTGTTTGTAGAGGCCCCTCTGTGTGTGTGTGTGTGTGTGTATAGAGGCCTCGGTGTGTGTGTGTAGAGGCCTCTGTGTGTGTGTGTATGTGTAGAGACCTCTATGTGTGTGTGTCTGCAGAAGCCTCTTTGTGTGTATGTAGCAGCCTCTGTGTGTATGTGTGTGTGTGTGTAGAGGCCTCTGTGTGTGTTTGTGTGTGTAGATACCTCTCTGTGTGTTTTAGAGGCCTCTGTGTGTGTGTAGAGGCCTCTGTGTGTGTTTAGAGTCCTCTGTGTGTCTGTGTAGAGGCCTCTGTGTGTGTTTGTGTAGAGGCCACTGTGATTATGTGTATAGGCCTCTGTGTGTGTGTAGAGGCCTCTGTGTGTGTAGAGGACTCAGTCTGTGTGGGTAGAGGCCTTTGTGTGTGTGGCAAAAAGCCTCAGTGTTTGTGTGTGTGTGTGTAGAGGCTTCTATGTATATGTATAGAGGCCTCGGTGTACGTGTGTGTAGAGGCCTCTGTGTACCTGTGTACAGTCTTGTGTGTGTGTGTGTGTGTGTGTGTGTGTGTGCAGAAGCCTCTCTGTGTGTGTGCATATGTAGAGGCCTTTGGATGTGTGTGTAGAAGCCTCTGTGTATATGAGTAGAGGCCTTTATGTGTGTGTGTGTGTAGGGGCTTCTGTGTGTGTTTGTGTAGAATTCTCTGTGTGTGTAGAGGCCTCTTTACTGTGTGTACAGGCCTCTGTGTGTGTGTATGTGTAGAGGCCTCTGTTTATGTGTTTGTGTGTAGAGGCAGGTGTGTATGTGTAGAGGGTTCTGTATGTGTATTTGTGTAAAGGGCTCTGTGTGTGTGTGTATGTATAGAAGCCTCTGTGTTTTTGTAGAGTCCTTTGTGTGTGTGTGTAGAAAACTGTGTGTGTGTGTGTGTTTACAGGCTTTTGTGTGTGTGTGTGTAGAGGCCTCTGTGTATGTGTAGAGGCCTCTGTGTGTCTGTGTGTGTGTGTGTGTGTGTAAAGGCCTCTGTATATGTGCTTAGAGTCCTCTGTGTGCTTGTGTGTGTGTTTGTTCATAAGCCTCTGTGTGTGTGTAGAGGCCTCTGTGTGTGTGTGTGTAGAGGCCTCTGTGTGTGGGTGTGTGTAGAGGCCTGTGTGTATGTGTTTAGAATCCTCTGTGTGTGTGTAGAGGCCTCTTGTCTGTGTGTACAGGCCTCTGCGAGTGTGTATGTGTGTGTAGAGGCCTCTGTGTATGTGTAGAGGCCTCTGTTTATGTGTTTGTGTGTAGAGGCCTGTGTGTGTGTGTGTAGAGGCTTCTGTATGTGTGTGTGTAAAGGCCTCCGTGTGTGTATGTGTGTAGAAGGCTCTGTGTGTGTGTAGAAGCCTCTGTGTTCTTGTAGAGTCCTTTTTGTGTGTGTGTAGAAAACTGTATGTGTGTGTGTGTTTTTAGAGGCTTTTGTGTGTGTATAGAGGCCTGTGTGTGTGTGTGTGTGTGTAAAGGCCTCTGTATACGTGCTTAGAGTCCTCTGTGTGTTCGTGTGTGTGTTTGTTGAGAGGCTTCTGTGCGTGTGTAGAGGCCTCTGTGTGTGTGTGTAGAGGCCTGTGTATGTATGTGTGTGTAGAGACCTCTGTGTGCTTGTGTAGAGGCCTTTTGGTGTGTGTGTGTGTGTGTGTAGAATCCTCTGCGTGTGTGTAGAGGCCTCTTGTCTGTGTGTAGAGCCCTCTGTGTGTGTATGTGTGTTTAGAGGCCTCTGTGTATGTGTGTGTGTGTAGAGGCATTTGTGTCTGTTTTTAGAGGCCTCTGTTTGTGTATGTGTGTGTGTGTAGAGGCCTCTGTGTGTGTGTCGAAGCCTCTGTGTGTGTGTGTATAGAGGCCTTTGTGTGTGTGTGTAGAGGCCTCTGTCTGTGTGCTTGTGTAGAGGCCTCTGTGTGTGCGTGTAGAGGCCTCTGTGTGTTTAGAGGCCTCTTGGTGTGTCTGTGTACGTGTTGAGGCCTCTGTGTGTATTTGTGTGTGCATGTAGAGGCCTCTGTGTGAGCCTACATCTGGTCCAGCTGTCACTGTGGGCCATTGTCCACCTGTATAGACCAGGGAGCTGCCCCCCAGACCTTGCCTGCCTTATCTCAAATGAGATCTGTCCAGCAGTTGTGTCTGCCTGTCTTCCTGGTTCTCACCTCCAGCGGGTGGAGACAAGGTTAAATTCAAAACTGTTAAAAAGCTTCCAATTTAAATTCTCCCTAGTTGGGAAAAGGAAACTACTGATACATACAAACCCTATTCAGGGAACTCTTACTTAATCCGTCCTTGCTAACTCTGAGTTGATAGAATATACAATTACTTATTTTTTTCCCCTCTCACTTGACTACATGAGAAGACATACATTGAAATCAAAATTACCAGTTCAGTGTGGTGACGTTATAGAACAAGTAAGCCGGTGGAACCAAATCGAGAGCTTAAAACCAGACCAATGTACACCTGAGAACTTGTGTAGTAACAAACAGGAAGGTTTTCTTGGAGATTATCTTTGGGAAACCAGCTTATCAAATGATGGAAATAAAGCTGAGTACCATCCCTACATCCACCTATGGTGTATGAAATAGTAAATTACAGCGAAATTAAAGATGTAGATAGGAAAGGTAAGATTTAAATGGCTGGCTTTGTCACTTTCCCATTGCTGGCGCCACGGTGTCAAGGAAGAGAGGCCTAATTTGGCTTTCAGAAGATTCAGTCCCTGATCCACTGGCTCCAAGGCAGGAGTGGTGGAGCTGTCAGTGCCTGGCGGTTGAGAAGCCAAGCAGGGATCAGTGTGAGAGAGAAAGGAGTCAGGGCCAGATGGAGAGCCCAAAGCCACACCTTCCTGACACACACAGAGGTACACTATGCCAGTCCTGGGGTGGCTCCCAAGCCTTGAAAGTTGACTCTGAACTGCATTCTAAGCATCACAGCTACTATCCCCCAAATATCAGTGACCATCTGAGTCCCAGGTCTGCCAGTCTTAGTGTCCCACGACTCTGAAAAGTAACGTAAGTCATTAAAAGGTCGATAGTGTAGGTGTCGGAATGGGATTAATTTTTAACTTATCTTCCTGGATAAAGGTAAGATCTAATTGTTGTGTTGTTTTTAGTGATTATTTTAAAGTTATAATTTTGAAATCATGTCAAACTATTGCAGAGTTTCAAGAATAGTATAAAGAACTCTCATATCCTCTCTTCAGGTTTATCAACTGTAAAAACCGGTCCATCATAGACATTTTCCTTAATAATTTGGGACTTAACTGCAGAAGTACTACTCCTTCACCCTCAAATGCCTCAACATCTGTTTCCTAACAACAGGGTATCCTGTTTAGAATGGTGGAATTTCGTCATTGGCTGGTAAATCCTTTCTGGCCATCTCTCCTCCCCTTCCCAGCCCCAGAATTTGATCAAAGGTCTCATATTACTTTTTTATCATCATGCCATTGTGATTGCCTTCACCTCAGTCTTTCATGACATCAATTTTGGAAGACACTAGTTTTGAAAATCCTTCTGTTGGGGTTTATTTGATGAGTGACCATAGCATGCATGTGTGCATGTGTGTGTGTATGGGGGGGGGAGGTGACAGAGCTTCAGACCGCAGCTTAATCCTGCCTCAGGACGGAAGGTGCTTAGTGATGGCCCTTTCCAGTCACTTCCCTCCATTGCTTCCCAGCAGCCACTGTTAGAAGGATCATGTCTGCAGAACAAATTCACTCTGAGCCATTCCCCACTGAAGGCCATCCCCCTTTTTATAACACCTGCTGGGGATCACTGCATTTTAAAAGTGAAATTTATTAACCCAAAGGAACGACACAAAATGATTTCTTAGTCAGAGAATTTCATACTCTTAATCCCAAGGGTGGGCTGCTCACTGCGCCTGCTACAGGGCCAGGCACCGTGTGACTTCGCCTGAAGTCACAGAGGACTGGCCTCACTGGTGACTGGACAGCAGGCTGCTTTGCAGCGCATGCAGCAGGGGATCATTTCGGGTCCTCTCTGCCTGGGCTTTGCCCATCACTCAGCAAGGCCTCCGAAGGGGCTAGAGTTCAGAACTTCAAAGAGTTCACCTACAAGAGTCCTTGAAACCAGGTGTGATGCTGCTGCCTGGAATCTTGCCACTTGGGAGACTGACACAGGAGGATTTCTGTGAGTACAAGGCCGGCCTGGCCTACAGTGGTAACTTGTCTCAAACAATGACCAAAAAAATCACAGAAGTCCTCGTGTTTAGGGTGAGAATGCCCAACTGAAGCCAACTGGTTCCAGGCAGCCAGGGCACTATGAGCCTCAAGGACATAGGTGTGTGTGGGTGAGCAGGGCAGGATAAAGAGCAGGGGCCGAGCCAGAAGGGGATCCATGAGCAAACCTTTCTGCGTCCTCACCTTTGCCCAAAGATGGCTGCCATGGCTTGGATCTGAAGTGTTCCCCAGACCTCAGGAGCTAAAGGCTGCGATTAGCTGGTGGACTTTGGGGGAGGTGATCAGGCCAGGAGTGCTGACTTCCCAGGTGGGTCGCCCATCATCTCATGGTGGCCTTGGGGCGGATACACAGAGGAGGAAGCTGAAGGGAACAGTCATGGGGTGTGGTAACCTTAGATAACTCCTGCCTGAAGGCTCTTCCCCTCTTCTTTCTGGAGGGCGGCTTTCCTCCTCACCTCCCACCACATGCTCCACCTCCACCAGGACCGAGCTGTGGAACCAGTGGACTGAACTGAACCTCAAGGATTTGTGAGCCAAAGTTTCCCCTCCTGTCAGGTGCTATTCTCAGGAATTTTGTCATAAGGGTGAAAAAGGTAATTAACACAATGGTACCGTTTTAGTGTGTCCTGAGCAACCACAGATCAACTAATGTTTATTTCAGAATAGTTTCTTAGGCTGGGGATTTAGAAGAGAGGGCTGATTCTCCAGGCTCTCAGTGTGGATTAGAATTATTGGAACATCCAGTTTTAGGATTTTATTCGCATTAATTCCCTGTAGGATATGAATGAGATAGTTACTGCCCTAGTTTGCAAAGATCCATTGTCTTTGAGGCTGCCAGGGAGAAGGATTTCCAGCCATGGCCATCGAGATGCTTGGTGTTCTCATCCCATAGCTCTGGCTGTGAGAAGGATGTGGACTCTTCCCAGGCCTTGTCAGAGGCCAGGTCTCCTCCTGCTTCTCAAGCTCAGGCTTTTCCTCTCCTCAGTCTCCTCTGATGAGCTTTCCTCGCTGAGCTGTGTTCCCCAGAAATACCGCCCAGGAGCCAGGCAGCGGCGTGGCCAGAACCACGGCTGTCCCAGGAAGTGGCGGTTGCAGTCCGGAGGGAGGAAAGGTCTGCCTGGGAATCTGGGGGGGACCCTAGGCCACTGTGGGAAGAAGAGCAAGGGCGATCTGGATGTCCTCGTGACTGGCTGGGGCCGGGTCACCAGGCTCCTTGTGGCAGGTGGCGGTGTGAGCGTGAAGATCTGGCAGTCTGTGGGGCCAGCGTTGAGCTGTGCACCTCCAGAAGGCACAGCCAAGCCTTCTGCTCCTGCGGAGAGGAAAATGCAGTCAGCAAGCAGCCTGAAAGCAAAAGCAGAGGAGAGCGGTCCTTCAGCGGGAGAGGGAGAGAAGTGGGGAGAGAGAAGCCCAGACACCAGAGAAGATGTTTGGGAGCAGTGATGGGAAACACAGGAAGCACAGCCACCCTGAGACCTGGTGTTCCATCCTGGGCCGAGGAGCTGGAGGAGTGAAGTCCTCTGCATGTGGAAAGGCTGAATCCAAAGCCTGGGCAGCCGGCAGGTTGGTCAGCAGACTCTGTGCACGAAGCCATCCTGGCAGAGCCAAGGAAGAGCCGCGCATACCCCAGCAATGCCGATGGGACTGCAGAGGTGTGCTGAGCAGATGTTAGACAGGAGAGCACACAGACTGTGCAGTCCACTTACAGACGTTCAGGTGAAAGCAGACCAGGAAAACACTGCTCCGCTCCGAGCTAGGGTGGGTACTAACTAGGAGGAGGAGCAGCCACAGAGCTCTTTAGCAGCGTCCCATACGTGATCCGGTGGCTGCTTAAATGGACTTGCACTCTCTCTGCTTCTCAACATAGCAGATGATTCACTCTTACTCATTCTTGTTGATAAGTTTGAACCTTTGGGATAAAAACTACCCAGAATTCAGTCACTAAGGGAGAGGTCAGCCTCCCTATTCACCTGCATCATGACACTTTACTCTCAGACAGGATTTACATAAGATTCTTTGGGCTACTCAGTAAATTGCTGCTAAAAGTAAATGCACCCCTCCTTGCATCTTGGACTCATCCCACTTTCTGGACCCTGAGGTCACCCTCAACCCAGAGCACTGGGGTGCTAGAGTCTGCCAGTACAACAGGCAGATTTCCTCCCTGGGGACTTGAGATGGGGTACATACTGGTCCCTTCCGCATCCAGGAATGTGGGTAGGACCAACCCATTCTTCCAGGAGACCCAACACCTGGGGATTCATCAGGTCGCTACTAGGTAGCGTAAGTGCTCTCCAGTGTGGCTGTCATGGGGATGGATTTAGCAGCTTGTCTCAGCTCAGAGTCAGGTCCACACATATGTGGGAGCCAATTCCATGTAAGGTCACTACCTTCAGCTGACTTAGTCTCTCAGCAGTCCTTTCATTCATCCTTGTACCACCTTCCCCACCTCCATGATCTTTGCCATCGCCTCCAATCTCCTCCAGCTCTTTCCTTCATTCATTTGAAGAAGCCCCTGCACCTAAGTATATCACTTATCTGCTCCTTTCTGCTGGAAAATGGAGGTGAATGTCTTTGGTTCCTCTTCTGTCTTTAGAGATGCCCCGTGACTGTCATGTGGTGGTGTGTTCCCATCTCACTGCACTGCCCTTGGGACCATCTGGTAGACTGCTGTCTCCTCAGCCCTAACCCAGGGCCTGCTACACAATGAGCTGATCCAGAGCAATTGGTGTTCCCAGTTGCCAGAGGTCCCCATGCCCGTCCTCTGGAACAGTGAGATGTTTTCCATATTTCACACCAACAAGCCACTCAAAGCATGGAAGCTGGGAGATGGGAATTCTGCACGCCGAAGGACACTGACATGGGCCAGCATCAAAGCCTAGATCAAAGGCCTCCAGAGAGGCCCAGCAGCCTGGGATTCATCAGCGCAGGTTGCAGAGCCAGGCGTGGGCTCGGTGCTTAATAACTGACCATGAGCAGCTTCCTTAATCTCGCGTCTTCCTCCTCCTTCATACCATGGAGGAAATAATGGTACTTGTCTCATCCGTGTATTGAACTTATTTGAAATAGGATATCTCATGCCCTGAGAGCATTGCCTGAGGCAGGGCGCACCCTGGCTTTCATTAGCCACAAACATGAGGGAAAGATTCAGCCAGCCAGAGCCCCTCCTTGGACCACTCTGGCCATATCATTTGCATGATTATGCATGAGGGATGAGATGGAAGGGCCCAGAGCTTCTAGAACAGGTCCTCCAGGGACATCAGGGGCTCCTGATGCTGCTAGTCAGAGCCAGGAATGTTCCAATTTAAAGCAGTGCTCAGTACAAGTTTGGTGAACTCAGTACAACAGGCACTGAGTGCTCCTCTCTGTGTATTTGTGTGCTACTCAAAAAGGATTTAATTTCAGTCTCAGGACATTTGCAGCAATGACTTATATTTAAAATTGGAATGTAGCACAACAAACCCAGAATAGAGCTTGAAGTGTGGATGTCAATTTTGAATGGGCTTATTATAGTCTAGACATGAAAGTCAGAGCACATAACACCTGGCACTTTGTAAAACGGGTAATGATGAGAAAATCTTTTTTTATAATTACCCGTGCTCTGTGGTTATTTGGGCAGACAATAACAGGTTTGTAGTGAACTATAGTGACTTTTAGAGAAGAGAAAGCTTTGTTCCTTTTTGTTGTTTGTTTGGCAAGCTTGTTCTTCATATTTAAGTCAAGTGCTCGACACACAAAGTCTTAAAGAAATTTTGTTTCCGGAGTCAGAGAGAGAAATCTCAGCAGTGACCCCTGCAGCCCAGCTCCGAGGTCTCCTTTGAAGATCCAGCATTTGAAATCTCAGACAGAATCCACAGCCTCTACCCACTCTAAGCTGAAGTCAGGCTGTCCAGGTCCTCAGCGGGTCCCCTGCAGCGGGTTGTGTCAGATGCAGAAATGACAGACTCCCACTGCTGCCCGTGGAGGAGAACAGGCTGTGAAGTGGAGGTGACATGGCAGAGTGGGGTCCCAAACACCCGGGAGAGCAACGAACTTCTGTGTGAGCTCAAAGGCGTCGGGGAAAGCGTGTCACTTAACATAATGCGTCCTTGCTTTTCCTTTAGAGTCTAAAGAGTTAAATGCTTTACTCAATTAGATTTGTTTTTTTTTAACTTTTTAATGAACATTTAATGGCTTTCTGTTTTTTTTTTTTTTTTTAATCGGTACCAGGGATTGAACTCACGACCGCCTGCTTGCAAGGCAGGTGCTTATGCCGCTGAGCTAAATTCCCAGCCCCCACTCAATGAGATTTAGAATAAATCTCTTTCTCTATTGAATTTAAACTTAGACATTGCTAACACATGTAACTACCAATATGGCATGGTTGAGTTTTGGTAGAAAGCAGGCCGAATGTTACCACTTGGAACAGAACTGCAACACACAGAGGAGAAAGGAAGAGGAGGGAGAAGGAGTGAAAGAGTCTGAGGCCGTGTGTGCCCTGTTTGAGGACCTGGGACGCAGACAGGCGCTCCCAGACTGGAGCCAGGTGCGGGTAGGGAGAGATGACCCTGAAGGACCGATCGACACAGTCAGGCCCAGACCGCAGGTCCTGGCTGGGGTTTTAACTACAAACAGCAGAAATCTCAGAGGAGCAGGGCTGCTTTGGCTAAGGGTTTTCCAAGCCTCCTAGAGAGCAACTCCGGCTCTGTACCTCTTTCCCATGACGTGGAAAGGAGGAGGACAGCTGGTTCTTTTTAAAATATCATATCTGGATGTCACCTGTGAGCTGGTGACAGCCGAGGGGCACCTCGGGACCAGCAGATGCTGGCTGTGACCTGCGCCCTCGCCTCCTGCTGGCTGGCATTTGTGTATGGGTCTGTGGGAGGCTCAAGGTGTCCCATAGCCAGCTCTGACAGCCCCTCTCCAGCCTGTTCTGTGCTCTTGAGGATAGCAAGAGGGAGTCAGGGCCATTTGTGTGTCTCTAGTCCCAGCAGCATGGAGTTTGAGAGCCAGAGTGAGCAGTGGGAAATGCTGGCCTCAGGCCCCAGAGAGCTCAGGCCACTGCGAGATTTGGCAGTGGGACAGGGAGGGTGAACAGGAACAGTGGAGAAATCAGTCTGGGTCCTCCTAATAGGAAACCCATGCTAGCACTCGCTGCCAGGGTCAAAGCCCAAGAGCAAACAGAGCCCAAATAGCTTTTGCATTTAAACAGCTGACCATGCTGCAGGCGATTCAGTCAAGGAGGTGCGTCAGCCCTAAAACTGTCATATCCAGGATTTGTGCAGCATTCCCAGTGGGGAGAGCGAGCCCTCCACGATCACACACATGGTCCTGGCCCCCCTGAAGTGGTAAGTCCTCTGACACAGTCACTGCACTAGGTGAAGTCAGAGAGGCTGTGCCTCTGAGACCAGGATCTGGGTCTTCAGACCACAGAGCCCAGCCCCTCTCTCTTCACCCCAGAGGCTTCTGGGGGCGGGGAAAGGCTTTCAGAGATGGGCTGTGTAATCACAGAGGTAGCTGCCTGCCCTGAGCCTTGTTAATTAGCAGAGCCACATGCCAGTAAAAACAAAGCCCTTACCTTGTGCCACGGATGCTGCCAGCCAGCAGAACAGTGCCCAGCGGGAGCAGCAGCGGCTGAGAGCCATGGCTCCTCCAGTGGCCACCGCCTTGACGTGGTGTGGCTTTAAAGGAGAGTGGGTGAGTCACGCAGCCTGGTGCTGGTGGTTTGCATTGGCAGGTGGACCTCAGCCACCAGGCTGCGGTGAGGGTGTGAGGAGGCCAGAGATTCCAGACAGTGCTCATCAGCCAAGTTCTCCAGGTGACAGCAAACCTCACTCATCTTCGTAGGCTGGGCAGCCGCGCCCTGCTTGTGCTTCGGGGGGCCCCCTCCCCACCCACCACCTCAGTCTCACATCTCTAAGCCAGGTGCAGGGACTCAGGACCACTGCCCTCCCTGCAGCAGGTGATGGGGGGACCCAAGGTCGCCCCCCAGCTGTGTCCCAGAGGCCAGGGCAGCAGTCAGAAGACTGCCTTCCCCACGGGCCTTTGGGGTCACCGTGTAAGCAACAGTATAACATAAGGAGAGAGAAAGGGCTGGCTCCCGATACCCTGTCAGGGGCATGTGGTGCCCAGCTACCTTCCCAGGCCTCACCCCTCAAAGCTGCAACACTGCTAAAAGCCACAGGCTGGTGACCAAGCCTTCACTGCATGGAGCTCGGCACATACCAAGTCCAAGGCCTGGGGCACACCTCCTAGGCGAGTAAATGGAGGTAATTACTAAGTAAGAACAGCTCAAGTCAGAATTTCTTCTTTTTGGACTCCATCCTCCCATCACTCAAATGACCTCCACTTTGGATCTTCCTGGATAGCACAGAAAGACAAAAATGAACCAGGCCTGGTGATGCACATCTGTGAAACCAGCGGGGGAGGCTGATGCAGGAGGATCACCACGAATTTGAGGCCAGCACGGGCTACATAGTGAGACACAGTTTGAGAGAGAGTTGATGCAAATAACAACAACAACAAAAAAAAAAAACCAAAACAAAAACTAAGTAATTTATTGTTTTCTATCTTGTTATGATTGATACCTTAAATCAATCCAAGAAGTTTAGAAGTATAACTAAAAGGCAACCCTGAGCAGGGCTCTTACTTTGTAAATATCCTCCTGTGCAAAAAAGGAAGGCAAGGAGATTCTGTGAGTGCTACACCTACCCTGGAGTAGGTGTCCTGTACACAATACAAGGAAAGGAAAGGAGGCTTGTTTGTCCCTTCTTTTGCTCTGGCTGCTGCCTTAAAGTGGTGCCCCGGGGCCGTGCCACCTTGCCTTGGAGCCAGCTGGTTATGGATGGAAGCCTCCACAAACTGTGAGCTAAGTAAGCCTTTCCTTCCTTCATTTGGGTTGTTGGGTATTTTGTCTCAGCAACAAGAGAAAAGTAACCAAGACTTATCTATTATCTTGAAATTTATAAAATAAAGGAACAAAATTCTAAAAAGAACAAACTTTTAAAAACCTCAGCAACAGAAAACCCTCACATTTGCACTTGTGTCCAGAACCACTGCAGGCACGTCCTGTGGGTTTGTGTCCTGGAGTGAAGCCAAGGGCTCAGTGGGAGAGACTTAGGCCTGAGATTCCTGCTGATTTGGGAGCTGGGAGCTGCAGTGACATCATGGCTTGGGGTCTGCACATTTGACTGTTCAGGTCACATGTTAGGCAATGAGATGAGGTTACGGCCAAATTACGAACCAATGTTTCTATATTACTTGCTTGTTTGGTTTTTGGGAAAGGGTCTCTATAGCCTAGGATGACCTTGAGCACACAGGGATCCTCCTGTCTCAGCCTCCTGAATGCTAGGATTATGACTGTGCCTTACCACACTTGACTAGACCATTTTTAAGTGACCTAGGTATTAGTGTCTCAGTTGTAGCTTTGGAACAGATGGACACATATTTGTGAGAGGAGCCACAAGGAGACCCCTGCTGGTCCCTCCTGTCTCTGTGGGACGATATCCCATGGTCCTCTGAGGGAAAGAGGTGTGGGTAGGTGAGTGGTGGCTTTACGTGTGCATCTCTGTCTCTGTGCTCTTGGATCTGTGCGGGGACACTGTCCTCTCTTCTTGCACCCTCTTCTCAAGTCCCTGTGATTGTTAACGTCAGGTCAGCTTGTCCTGGCTGCCATGCTTGGGTGCACAAACACCTGGTTATTCTGGAAGAGTCCAGGGATGCAGCTGACTACAGTCAAGTCCGCAGACCGAGTCAGGTGAGCTCTTGTGAGGAGTGGGCCTTGCCCAATCAGGGGACAGTCTGCTGGGAAGACTGACCTCCTGGGTGGCAGGGATTATTTAGGGCCCCAGGTTGAACTCCAACAAGGCGTTGGGGCAGCTCCCACCCTGTGGCCCTGCAGGGCTGACTCCTTTAGGTGTGTGACCTGCGGTTCTGCTTGTCTGCAGAGCATGGATGCCACACACCCCTCTTCTTCCTCTGTCTGGTTCCCATGCTGCCCCCAAGGTCTGAGGCACGCACAGGCTGAGAGGTCACGTCTCAGTAAGAGACCGGTACTCGCAAGTGTGAACTTGGAGCAGGCTTGGACACAGAAGGACGCCCAGCTTCCAGCCCTTGGGGGGCACCTGGACTTGGGGAAACCATTTTCCCCACCTCACCCCCTGACCTGCTTTCCTGGCAGTTTAAACCCTGTCGGGAGTCTTTGTCAATTCAGGGCCTGGATACTGTGCCCCATGAGTGCTTCAGTTCAGCCTCACAGGGGAAATGCTCCCTCTGTGAGCTCAGGAAGAAGCTAGAAGCATGGGGGGAACGAGGACTCCCCAGTAGGGTGTTCTAAAGGCCCTAGGTCCTTGGGGGCCCAGGGCTGCCAGGAGTCAACTCCTCCCCATCTCTGCACCCTGCTGGGGAAAGCCTGGGGTGTTGGAGTCTTTGAAGTTGAATAAATATGGGGGGGGGCAGTGCTGGGGTATGGCCTGGGCATGGCTGAGCTGCAAATGAGGAGATGCCTGGAGGGGGGAGCAAAATAGGCCATGGCTGAGGACATCTGGAGTCTCCCTCCTAGCATAGGAGACCTATGATTCATTAATTAGCATTGTCTGTTGTTCTGAGGGGTCCTGCATTTTCCACTCTAATCCCTTCCTTGTTTGTACTAAATAAATACCGGCCACCCAGAGACACTGTCTCAGCCACCAGGGTTAAGAACTCTGCCGTGGGCTTTGGTCCTCCTGGAGTCCTAAAGATCAGACCTCTCCTCTCATTTGTTTGGGTCTTTGCTGTGCACTCGTTGGAAGACTGGGGATCTAGACACAGACTCCAACACTGGGGGATGGAGGCCAGGAGGGCACCTGGCCCTGAGCTGTCCTCAGCCGCTGTGGGGCAAGGTGACAGTGTCAGGGACCTGAGGGCCAGCTGAGCTTAGGTGAGGTGGTGGCTGGGCCTCTGGTGGGCCCCAAGGTGGCCTGGCAACTTCCTGCATGGGCACTGTGCCTGCTCCCCAGCCCTGCCTGGCAGATGTGGAGGCTGAGGCTCAGAAGAGGTGCCCCAAGTCATCCTGGGGACTTCACGAGGGATGGCAATGGCATCCTGATCAGGCAGAGTGATGGTCACCACACCTCACCTCCTTGATCAGTAGCTCAAAATGGTTTTAGGCCAGCTGGATGCCCCTGGTTAGCCCTGAAGCCATCAGTCTCATAGCATCCTCATCTGAAGTCACTAGCTATATTCTATATGAGAGGCTAAGTCACTCTGTGTTCACACGGCCCTGGGGTAGGCGCCATTGTCCTGACTTTCTAGAAGAGGAGACTGAGGCACAGGTTTACCCCTGGTGGCTGCCACGCAGCAGAGCCAGGCTGCAGACTGGGCCATTTGCCTGAGTTCCTGTGCTTCATCACTGTGCTCAGCTGCTGCCTGGCTGTCAGATTCCCCACAGTAAGAGCCTGAGAGCAGTCCTCAGCCTATGCTCCTGGACCACGGCCCTGTGGCCTGATGCTCCAGACACTCCCGCCAGGTGGTGGGGTGGGTCCAGGGCTGAGAGCTTGTCTGCAGCAGAGATGGGGCTGCACCCCAGCAGCACTGGGAGAATAATTCTGGGCAGGCTGCAGATTTTACAAAGAGACAGTGGGGAACCGAGAGACGGAGGGAGGGAGGGAGAAAGGGAGGGTTGGGCGCAGAGGAGATGAAAAAAGAACAAAAATGTGTCACATCTATACAGTGACTGCCCGCCAGGAGGAGTGTGGTCACGATGCCCTGCAGATGTGGGCTCATGAAAGTAAAGACCGAAAAAGACACAAACCTGTGCCAGCCCTTGGATTTTACTTAGATTCTGTTTCAGATAAGAAATGAAATCCTGGGGGATGCAGGCTGGCTGTGAGGCCACACTCAAGGCATTGAGGAAGAGCCTTCAGGTGTGGCCCTTGTCCTTGGCAGAGGACAGGTGACCATCACCCGGCTACAGCTCAGTGCTCTGTGTGAGGACCAGTCTCACCCCACCCCAAGAAGCCACCCTGGGAACCCGCGAGGTTGAAAGTGTACACTGCTGAGGACACACTTCAGAGTCACCAGGGCGGGAGTGAGTGGGGCAGTAGAGGCACGGGGCTCCACGCTTGACACTCATTTGCTGGTGAGTGACGGCCTCTCTAGATGCCAGCTGTTTGGTTTGAAACTCATAGTTATAAACGTTTTCTGAAATCACGGCGACAGAACTTTCATTATACTGTGCGCATGTTACCTCCCCACAACTTCGCCTCTTGCAGGGCAGGCAGGCACCCAGCAGGTGTGGGAGGTGCACTGGCTGGCAGGCTGGACATCAGGGTGGCACAGAGCCCATGGCAGTGATGCTCTGTGCGAAGGGGTGAGGAGGACACGGGTGGCCCACAGTGGGGTGAAATGTTATACCAGACCAGGGCAGTTTGCCCTCCAGGCCAGGGAGGAGAGGAAAGGGCCCTGTCTCCCGGGGATCCCCCATCGTGCCTGTGAGGGCAGCTGTCTCCATGAGCATAGCAACCACAGAAGGCATCGCTGTGGTCCTCTTACTCTGGTGGACACACAGGCATGAGGGTCTACTACAGCCTGGTCCCTGCCCTGCACCCACCAAGAGCTCCGTCCTCTTCACTGTGCTTTCCCTTGCCCAGAGCCTGGTGCAGCACCCTGGTGGGTCTTCTGAGCATCTCATTCCCTGCTCGCCCTGCTCCAGCACAGAGGTGCAGCCTGTGCTTCCCCATGCAGCATGGCCATCCCCTAGGGACAGGCACCAGACTCAAGCCAGGCAGCTAGTGCAGGTGTGTAAGTCCTGAGACTTGGGCATGGGTGGAGGGATTGGAGGCACAATTCCTCTGCCTTTGGACGGAAACTGTGAGGTGATACACGCCCAAAGAGGGGGCTGCCTCAGAAACAGCAGAGATACCCCAGATTCTGATAACATCTGGACTCGTGGATTCAGCTCACCTGGAGCCACACATGGTGTAAAGGATTCTGAAATGTGATCAATGTAGTTGACAGTGGCAAATCATGTAAGGAAAACTATGCTAACCCCCCTGTTAGAAGGTGGGGGGAATTACACATTTTATGCTCTTGTACTTGATTGTAGACTGGAATGGAAAACCGTATCCTCTGTGGTGGTTGAGAAAACACTAGTGGTGATGGGACCTATCTGTTATCAAGCATCCTTTCTGTGAGCCGAGGGAGCCAGGTCCCCAAACATACTCCCAGGATGGTGCGACCCATACACTTGGGGAGTCACCCATGTGTGACCAGGTGACTTTGCCCTGAGTGTTTGACTCTGTCTGTGCCTGGCGGTGGCAGCAGACAGATCCAGATGGAGGTGATGTCCTGGGGGATTCCCTGGCTGCAGGCACAAAGCTCCCACGTCTCCCTTCACCCCTTCCCAGGCTGAAGTCCAGCCTCACACTGGTGAGTGTTTGCAGCAGCTCAGTGCTCAGTGAATGGGAACCTTGGTGCTCAGAACTGATGTTGATGCAGATACCAGCATTGTTCTAACCTTTGCCAGCTCTGAGCCCTGGGCCAAGCTCCTCGGCTCCTCTGGGAAATGCTCTCAACTGTAAAACGGGAAGAGTTACAGTGTCTATCCAAAGGGAGGCTGCAGGTTGAGTGACTGAATGAAATCTCAGTACTTTGAATGGACTGGGGCCTTGTAATGACAGCTGTCTCTCTTACGAAGAAACGCTCATCTGTTTCAGATACTTCTTGAACATGGTCGTGGGGAACAAAACAAGCAAAGAGCAGACACACGCAGCATCGTAGGGGCTGTAGCCCATTCTGGGAGCTGCCCCTCCACTCCCAGGACTTTGGACCATGTTCTGTAGTTTGCTGAGAAAATGAATGGGGAGGAAACTATTTACATGTTCCCCTTAAGGACGGAGTGGAGTGTTTTAGGTTTCTGTGAGTGACTAATCACAGGAAAGCCAAGGAAAGCCTTGTGACCACGCCTGCCAGACAGTGGTTTTTAAAGATCTCAGTAGTTAAGCTGGCGGGGCTTGGGTGGTTGTCCCAGGAAATTGTAGTCATTCAAGACTTGTATGACTTCTGCCACTGTCTCAGGGAGGTTATGAGGGTGATGATAGCAGCTCCTGGATTTCAGAGATGAAAGTGTCTACATTTAGATTTGTAGGATGCTTGTTTTTTGCTGTACCTGAGCTGTGATTTATAAAGAGGTTTGCCTGGCTGGCAGCTGGGAAGGCTGGAAGTTCAAGTCCAGAGACATCATGATACTTTGGGAAGACAGGAAGTGAGGCTGGGGAGGAGCCGGTGCCTGGTAGTAAGCAGCTCTTTCTCCAAAGACCCATCCTTGATGGGGCTAAGTCCATCTGCAGGCTATTTCCCGGCATGGCTGCTGCGGGTACCAAGTTCCGCAGCACCGGTTTTGGTGGCAGCAGTCACATTCAGACCCTGTAAGGGCGGTTAGGGCCATTTTCCCTGTCTTTTTTCCCTTCTTCTTGGTCTGTGTTTCCTGCCCTCCTCAACCTCCCCTTCTCTCTCTCTTCCTTTCTCAGTGTCACTGGAAGAACAGACCTCCCTCCAAGAAATAGCCACCTTTAGGAGCCTTGGCATACACCTGCCATCCTCTTTCCAGCACAGTGATATCCACTATGTGTGCATATGTGTTTGTGTACCTATACACACACGCACACACACACACACACACAGAAACTGTTTGGGAAATAGGTTTTAAACAGTTTTATAATGAGATGCTACTGTGAGTTGCCCATTAAGTTGCATTTTTCTGTTTGAAATGCGTATTTCTTCCCATGGCCATTGCATACAGATTGATGGCTTTCTCTGGAGCTGCTGCTTCTCATTTGCCTGGCTCAGCACAGCTTCACTCATTTCCCACCTGATAGAGATTTAGGTTCTGGCCAGGCGTGGTGGAGCACACCTTTAATCCCAGCACTTAGGAGGCTGAGGCAGGAGGATCATTGGGAGTTCCAGACCAGCCTGTGCTACAAAGTGAGCTCAAGGTCAGCCTGAACTGCATAGTGAGATCCTATTTCAAAAAAACAAAAAAACAAAAACAAAACGAAACAAAAAAGAGAGAGAGATTTGGGTTCTCACAAACAGTCCTCACAGCCAATGTAACTGCCATCAGTTTCCTTTACAAATAACTTGTGAAAGACTTTTAGTTTTAACGTATAGAATGAGCTTGCATGTCAGTCTTGGATTTGAGGGTCTCTGGTGCCCTGGTGAGCCTGGCCCTCTGGATCATCACATTCAGTTTCTAGCCGGTGCCGTTTCCTATCAGGCAGTTCATGTCTGGCCAGATGATGGTGACGACTACCCTTGGAAGGTGTGTGGGATCTCAAAGTGTAAGATGTTCCCTACTCTTAAGTGTGATAGTAAGAGGGGCAGCCAGAAAGTTTTAACATCCTCCAGATGTCAGGTCAGCTGTGCACCGGCGACCTGGCGCACCATGATCAAATCTCTCCTTCTAGCAAGTGGCAGTGGCCTTTGTTTTGGTTGAAACTGGGTGCTAAGCCATTTGCTGCAGGTCTCAGCAGAGCGCTGTACCGAGGAGGTGGTCACACTGGTGCCGTGCAGTGTCCCGACAGCTTGCATACCTGATTCACTGGGTCAGGAACCCCCTCTTCTCAGAAGCAGGAGGCCCCACCTGCTGAGTCAGGTATGACCTCAGCTCTTCACCCAGGCTCTGCGCAGGGAGCTGGGAATTTCATTCTCTGCCACAGCCCTGTCAGGAGTGCCAGTGCTGCCTGCTGACTGCAAGCCACAGCTTGGGCAGGGCTGGAGATGGTGTGGTGGGGTGGAGTGGGAGCGACCCTGGTGTTGTGAGACAGACGCTCAGAACAGCTGACTGTCGGCACCACTGGACAGGTCCCAAGGGAGTGAGGTGCTTGTCTTCAGGGTCAGCCAAGAAGGTCTTGGAATCAGGACAGTGTGGCCTGAGCTAAGCATGTGCTTCCGATGGAGCTGGGCTCCCCTCTGTCAACCTTTTCACTTGCACGCTGGTCTGTGAACCCCACTTTGAGTAGCCCTGTTCAGGGTATAAAACTGAATGATTGAAACACATCCAGGTGGTGAGGTGGCCCATTGGCCAGTGGCAGTTCTGGGATTTGAACCAAGGCTGTTTGATTGCCACCTAGGTGATCTGGTCTCCTGCTCTCACATCTGATGAGTACAGAGACCCTGACACGCTTGTGTGTAGAGCTGAGGCTCTGTTAGTTTCCCAGCCTCTGCATGGGCTGGCCCCAGCACCCACCCACTGTCTAGGAACTGTCCTGTGCAGGCCTGGTGGGCTGGGGTGAGACTGCATCTCCCCAACTTATCTTCACGTCCTCACAGTGGTGTGGAGCTCCGGAAGCAGCAGGTGTGATGGGTTGTTACGTTGGATATGCCACTGGACAGGCTTCTTGATGTGCCTGAAAAGATAAATATCAATAAAAGAGACTCCAAGGCATAAAACACTGTGCTATAAACCTACAGAGTGTCTTCTAGGCAGGGTGATGAACCTTGAGCAAGGAAGCAGTGTGACATGCAAAACAGAACAGCTGTGCACATCGCTGTGGCTGGCACGCACTGCTCCACCCCTGGCATGCCTGCGGGTGTCAGGGCCTAGGTCTGTGCCCGGAAGGCTCTGATGTTGCAATCTTCCTACGAACCTGCAGAAGAGCTGTTACACCTCTCCTCCACCAGGGAGAGAGGAGTCTTCCTTCCTTCAGGAGATAATCAGCCTTTCCATAGAAGTGGAAGATTGCAGCAGGAAAGACCTTGAGGGTGTGAGCCAAGTTTGGGGCTTGAAAAAGACCTGATCTTCTTACAGTTGTTGTGGAATCTGAAATCTGAGCAGAGCCACAGGGCTCAGCCCAGGGAGCTCAGGAGGACCCATTTCCTTTTCCTCTCCAGCTCCTACAGGGCACCCCTGCTTCTCAGTGTGTGCCTGCTGGTCGGTCATTCCACGCCTTCATTCTGTCCTGCATCGATAAGGCCTTGCCTGGAGGACAGGGCTCATTTCCGCTCATCAAGATGCTTGGGTTAATCACCTCTGTGAAGTAGCAAAGGGACCGTGCTACTCACAGGTTCTGGGGAGGGGTGTGCACAGCTTGGTGGGGGAGGCCATTTATGTGTCAGTCCCTCCTGATTTTGGTGCCCCCTACCCTTGACGTTTGAAACCATGCTTCTCTCCCCCAGGGACTCTTTCCAGACATGCCCCCATCCTCCTGTTTTTGACAACTCATTTATCAGTTTCAATCTGTTTCTCCTTGCAGCTTTATTGGCTTTTGCTTCAGGAAATTCAAATCTTCCTTAGGTGCATAAATAGCAGCATCGTGGTGTCTTCACTGAAACATTCACCATGCGTCACTTTCCCTGCTCCTGTTCTTTGCTCTGAAATCTGGTTTGTAATTAGTGGCGCTTCTACAATTTTCTTTTTGAAGTGGGCGCCTTGGAGACGCTGAGCAAGTGCTGTGTACTCACAATGGCTGCAGGCCTCCAGCTTATTCATGTTAACACATCTTTTTGTGTCCTTTTAGCTTTTAATTTAACCTAATGTTTTTGTATTTAAAGTGGCTGCCCCTATCTGGCATATAGTTTGATTTCCACCTTTGTCTTTAGGCTGCTTGTTTTCTTTGCTTTTCTTTTTGTGAGACAGGGTTTATGTTGCTTAGATTGGCCTTGACTCTTGGCTTAGGTGATCCTCCTGCTTCAGCCTCTGGGACTCCAGGCATGTACCACACTGGCTTTAGACTGCCTGTGCTCCATGTGATCATTGCTGTCTACATGAAGGCTGAACCCTTCTGGAGGTGGATGAGGGCCGGCCATCCAGTTCAGAAATAATGGCTTTCCATGAGGAAACCACTTGGAGACAAGGGGATGAGGAAGGGCTGTGCTGCGATGCTGACGGTTTACAGTCAGCATATATGGAGCCTGACAGGGCTTTGAGTCATGCAGGGACTGGACAGAGTCCAGTGTTTGGAAGATTACATACACTTTCCTCTGGCAGAAAGAGGGGAAGGGCACTTCAAAGGCACTGCAGGATGGAAGGCATTAATTAAATGAGACCTGTCCTGGCCGTGGTTCAAGGGAGCAGCCCAGGAACCTGGAAGAGAACCGGTTAGCATCTGCCATGAGCCCACCCCACCTTACCAACTGGGAGCCATCGGTCTGAGCATCTTTTGGGAGCCTGACCGTATGCAGTATAGCAAATAGGGGGGATTTCCTTCTACCATCTATTTGAAGGCAAATATTGTTATCACTGTTTTGCTTTGTTCTGATTGTTTTGTTCTATTCAATATTCTATTCTTTTAGGTTTTATAATGTTCTGCTTTTGGTTTGATTTTGCTATACCTGATGGAATGGACACCTATTGTGAAGATAAGGAGATCTACTATTGTACCTATTACTGTTATCCTGGTTCTCTGTGTTCGGTCTGAGAAAGGGGGGGGGGATGGAGAAGGAAGAAAGGAAGGAGAAGGAAGGAGTGGGGTGGAAAGAGTGGACGGCCGCGTCACGGCACCATCTGTTAGGTCTGAGAAGGGGAGGATGGGAAGGAAGGAAGGAGTGGAAAGAGTGGATGGCCGTGGAAGGAGTGGGCGGCGGTGGCTGCAAAGATAAGAAGTATAAAATATAAGTAACCTTTATTTCGGGAATTCGGGGAGAGACCCCCCCCCCCCCGGCCCCCGGGGCGCAGCATCTCCACCCCGGGGCCGGCGGCGGTCTCTCTCTGGAACACACACACACTCTCTAACACGTGGAGTGACTGTAAACACCATAAATAGCCTCGGTCTGGGGTGGACCCCAAGGGGCATTAGGGATGCACAGGTAGCCCATTGGCACACGTTTGGCGCTAGAGGCAGGTTCTTAGGGATGGGGGTATAGGGTTACAGGTAAATCTCCAAGGGGCAGGGAGGCAGGAGCTCCTTAATTTGGCTGAGGCTTCTCCTGGTTAAAGTGTCCGGTCTGGGCCAGCAACTCTTTCACTCTGCACCAATTTCACTGCATTGTCTCGATTGGCTTTGTTCTGTCTCATTCAAAATAAAAATTAATAAATGAGACCAGTCCAATACAGTCGTGCCAGATGTGGGAAGGCATGGTTTCCGATGTTGAGATAACCTTGCAGGTTGCCTCTTCCCTGACTGGTACTCATTTACCTCCCACTTCCTCTACCCAGACGATGACATGCAGTTTTGGAAGGACATTTGTGTTGAGGCCCAGAAGCACCCTGAGGTTCGATGATTTGTTAAGAAAAGTTACAGGATTCAGCATATGGCTGTACCCGTGGCTGGGATGCCAGGAAAAGGACATGAAGAAAAGACAAAGTTATAATGGTTGAGACAGTATCAACCTGAGAAGTTTAGAAGTTTAAGTAACTCAGTAGGGAACCAGCCAGGGCCCTTACTTTGTAAACACCCTCAGCCTGTGTAAGAGGAGGGCACAGTGGTGGTGCCCAGGGGAGGCAGTAGCCTGCTTACAATGGAAGGGAGGAGGGGGCTTGTTCTTTGCTTTTTGCCCTGGCTGGTTTTGCTGGCTGCTGCCTTGAAGTGTTTTCCCCTGCCATGCCACTCTGCCGTGGAGTCAGCCGATTACGGACTAAAATCTCAACAGAGAGCTAAATAAACCCTTCCTCCCTTCATTTTGGGTGCCAGGTATCTTGTCTTGGCAATCGGAGACAAGTAACAACACCAGCAAAGGGAAAAGACACATGGCCCGATGTCTAAAGGAAACAGGGTGTACAGTTCCCAGGGTGCTTTCTCACTGTTGTCACACAGAACATGGTTAATTCAGTGGATCGAGCCATGACGTGACGGGACGCTGTGCCTCAGGGCAGCCCACCGAAGAGTCAGTGTTCAGCCTCTTTCCCAGGGCGTGTCACACAGACACCCTCTGCCACGCACTCACAGATGCCAGATTTTCACGAGTGAAGTGTCTGCTGTAAACACACTGCTAACCCTACCAGTCCATTCCCAGATGACCACCAAGAAAACCTGGCAAAACTTCACCCTCCACACGAACTGTTGTGCACACCACGTTTCAGAGGTTTTAGGGCAAACATGCTCTTTTACAGGCCCATGGCAGACAGGAACTACAGCCCTCCTCACATGCCAGGAAACTTACACTGTCACCCTGGGAAGTGCAGACGGATTGCACAAGGTGCCGGTAGAGACAACTTCAACCTGGCAGGAGCCCTGACAGCAGTATCTGTATTGTCTCTTTCAGGACAGATGGAAAGAAAGGGTCCTTGCTGCGCAAGTGCCCGGGTGGGCATATGCCTGTCCATCCCTAGCAAAGGACCACAGCCCCTGCCCCTGAATGACAATACTATCTGTCCTAAGGTTCCACTAGTGTCACTGTTGCTGCTGTGCTATAGGGAAATTCATAGGTCACCACACTGATGGATTGTTACTCAAAAACAAAAACGACTAGTCAACTGAAGGCCCTGAGAAAGCACATGTACCCACAGGGTGAGATAAACACCCATAAAATCTAGGGGCCTACTGTGCCAGTAAAATTTTCTAGGTGGTGTGTCCAGTTATCTGGGGCTTGCTAGGACCTCCCCTTGAAAGTAGACGATGTTGTGAAAGGGACAGAAACTGCTCAGAAGGAAAGAAAACTGGGATGAGGGAAAGGAGAAAGGGAAAACATTATACCAGTAATCTGTTAGTTCATCCAAAAGAACGGTTTGTGCTTTGATAATTTTTTCATGCCTAAATCTTGTAATCTGAGCAACTACTTTGAAGATAATATACAATTATCCATCGTTAATCTCCTATTATGTTGTTTTGAAATTCTGTATCATCTATTTTGTTCTTTTTCTGTTTTAAAATTTAAAACAATGTTAAAAAAAAAAAACACAGTAGAAGACAAGTTATTACCAGGAGTCTGAGGCAGAACTCAAGTTCCGGGCAGCCTGGACCTCACAGCAAGGATGTCTCCAAACACAAAATGAGCCTGCTGTGATGGCCTCCTGGGGGTCACCCAGCACCTTCCCACCACATGCTCACAGTCAGACTCGATCACAGGCAGAGCCAGTGGGAGTGAGCAGGGCCAGCTCTCACTGGTGACAGATGACCGCCACTTGGGTCAGCTGACCTGGCAGCCTTTGCCAGTTACAGCAGAGGGAAGAGACACAGAAGGAATGAACGCAAACTTTCGGATCTGTGTTTATTCCCTGCACACAAATAAAATTATTGATTTGTTTTTATTAAGACCATGACTCATTACTAGAGAAAATATTTATTTTTTAAATGGATTCTTCCTTGCTCAATTATCTCTATAAGAATTTTGCGTCTTTATTAAAACTCATGTCCAGCAAGTGGGCTGCTGCTCAGACTTCTGCCTGGCAGTGCGCGGAGCCCTTGAGCTGCTAGGCCTGGTCTGGCACTGAGCTGCACCTGGCTGGGTGCTTCTGGGCCGAGGCTCTCTGGCCAGGGTGACCTGGCTGCACTCTAAACAGCACAGGTCTCCCGGCAAGGACCACAGCCCGAGGGATGTGCGGCCAGGTCCAGGCACTCACACAATGACAGTGAGGACCCGACTTTGTCGGTTTTCTGTTGGGAATTACTTCTCTGTAAGAATCACAGAACACGGGCAATGCTGGGTCCTCACGGATGCTCATGAGCCACTGAATTAGCTCTGTCAGGTCCAGTGAGAGACGGGAGGGACGAGCTCCCTGTGCTCTCAGCAGCAGAAGTGACGGCAGGACTCCTGGAAGGCCTTCGGGGAAGGACTTCCTCACACAGGCACAGCCCTGCAGGCTGTGGTGCCAGGGCCTCCGCTCCCTGGGCTCCACATCCACGGGCTGACTTTCATCTGTATGCGCATGAACAGCAGGAGGAATTTCCATTTCTGTTCAAGAACACCATAAAACCTAAGGGTAGACCCAAACGTCTTATTAGAATGCCAGTATGAATTAAATAAAACTAAATAAAATAATACGTTTTAAGGCAGTAAAGAGATTATGACTTCAATGCTCTTCCAGCATAAATCCTTCAAATGTGGTTAAAAATCTCACTGAGGAAGAAGATTTAGAGAACCACATAGAAATACGCATTAAAATACAGCAAACTGTTACATATAAAAACCCAGTGACCACGTCCATCCTGATATTCAGGTATCACACACAAAACTGCACTGAAAGGAGAGTGCATAGCACAGCCGTGAAATGCCTGGCACATGCGTGCTGCCTGCTCCACGTGGATTCGAGCAGAGTCCCGTGCCCCTAGCAGACGGGGACCCTGAACCCTTGGTTTCAGCAGTTTGGGTAGGAAATCAGGAGACACTCCCATAAATCAGAGAATAGCTAATGACGTTTTTGTATAGCCAATAATAAGCTTTCTAAAACTGCCTTTTTATACACTTATTTCCCTAATTAACACCTCCGGAAAACACTTTCCCAACTCCTATTTCCACTAGAAGATCTAGAATCACTAACTTTAAAATGTTTTTTCTGTATTTTAAAAAGCATCAGCAATATTAGTTTCCATAAAATACAAGGCATAAAACACAATTCAAGCATTCAGCGAGCCCGGCACACAGATGGTGAAGGTGACCTTCCCTGCACAGGAGTGGTCAGGCGGCCTTAAAATCGCATGGGCAGCCCCGCTCGGCTTCCTGTTCTTCAGTGGCTCCACTTTACAGCTTATAATTATGCTCGGGATCAGCGCTATGGAAACCAGGTAAAAAGACTGCTCGGTATTATTAATGAAGGCATCTGGGGTTGAATGTAAGGTGGATGTTGTTACAGTGAATTCTGCTTTATACTAAAGCAGGTTTCCAATAAGACTCTACTTACCATGCAGCAAGTAAGGAAGGTAATCACTGGACACGAAAACTGCTGGGGCTGCAGGACATCTGGTTCCCACCAGAGTTTAGCGTGGGTAACAGAATTTCCTTATCTCTGTGGAGCTTTCTTAAGAGTTTCGCATCTCACGATAGTAAACAGTGGTGCCAGTTAAAGTCTACATAAAACGTAAGAATCACAAGCGACACCAAGCACTAAACCACCACGCATCTTCCAAAATCCCTCCAGGGCTACCTTGCAGGGCCACTCTGCTCGGCGCCCTCCCCGGGAGGCTCCCAGCAGAACACGTCCAGCCTCTCTGCTGTTTCCTGGCTGATGAGACATTCGTCCTTCAGGTCCCTGACTGTTTTCCTCAGCGCTTTCTGGAAGTACTTCTCTCGGTCTAGAACACTGCGCAGGCTTTCCTGGGTGTCCTCCAGCTGGCTGATCACATGATCTAACTTGTGCTTGAGTTTCTTCGGGCTGTCCATCACACTGTAGCTATGTTCCTGAAAACACAAGCTGAGTTATTCAACAGAGACCCCATATATATTTATTTATTTTCATTTTAGTTTAAAACAAGGAAAATAACACTAATATATTTTATAAAAGTTACCACAGATAATAATGCTGAAGAGCTGTTATAAAGAAGGAACCATAAAAACAAAAGAGAAATGAAAATCAAAGTAGAAAAGGCTGCAGCACAACCTCAGGAGGTATCACAGGTATGTGATCAGAGACCCCAAAGAACAGGAAAGCAGAGTTGGGATACAAAGAAATGTTTGAAGAAATTATGGCCTGAAAGTTTGACGAAAAATACAAATTCAACTATTTGTAACTCATGGCTTCAGTGGCATTTGAAAACACGAGCAACAGTACTTGGGAGCAAGGTGGCAACAAGGGTCATGTTCACTTACTAAGGGTGGGGGTGTGTAGGCCAGATTACAGGAATGTGGTGCCTAAGATCCAATGCAGGACAAACCAGACGACAGACTCGGTAACCTATAAAACATGGCCTGCTTGCCACATTCTCAGTTGTTACAGAGCCAGCAGCCATGACTAAGCCCTTGACTGCAATTCTCTATAAATACCACTAATCAACCAAATGAATAGTGGAATGTTTCAGGCCACTTTAAAAGTAGAAACTATGTATCTTTAATAGTCATTAAAAATTTCACTTTTTTTTTTTCTTCTCTACTTCCTAGACCTGGGGAAAAAGTGAAATATGCAAGAAAGATTTAAGCCTTAAGCTTTCCCTTGTGTGACTTTCAGTCAGAAATAGGTTCATCTGGAAGATGTTTTTGTTTCTGGCTTAAAGTGGTCATCCCAAGAAATTTTTTTTTTTTTTTTTTTGTACTTGTAGTAGTCACTTGTAGTCTTTTTTCAAAATCTTAGCCTTCCCTATTTTTAGAGACCGGGTGAGATAATCCTCTTTACTCTTAAGAGTGGCATCTCAAGCTTGACCTGGAAGTATGCTTCCTAAAGGATAACTTTGCTCTTCTTGATACAGTCCTGTCCTTCCTGTCTTGTCAGTCCAGTGCACCCAATGACAGACCCACCTGCCAAGGGTCACTGGCTACTAATGCATGGTGTCCTGTTAGGTTTTCCTAGACCAGTATTTGAGGCCATTCCTAAAAGATGGAAAATAGCAGGTTCCCATCAATTCTTTGTTGCCTGTTGTGCTCAGAACGCACACTGCTCTGACTGTTGGTATAGTGTCTGTGATCTGTTTGTGTCTGGTCTAAATAAAGATAGCTGTGGCCACTGGAAAAAAAAATACAAATCCAGAAACAATAAACCTCAATCACATGTCCCAAGCACGAGAAACAATAAGAAAACCGAACCAAGGCGTATCATAATTAGATTAATTAAAACTAGTATAAACTGTTCTTAAAAGCAACAGGCAAAGGAAAAACAAAGTACAGCACTTTTCATCTGATGGAATGCATGTTGAAGCACAGTGGAATAACATTAAACATACTAAGACCAAAAAACTCAAAAATTCGCAACCTAGAATTATTTAGTGGAAATAACGGAAGCAAACCTGGCCGACACAGGACAGCTGAGGCACTCAGCTCATAAGACACGTCAGGGGAGCGCTTCGAAGACAGGCGGGTCAGTGGGACTCACACCAAGGCCTGCGGGGCTTCGAGGAGGCAGTGACATGGCAATGACACACCAGGTTCCTTTCTTTCCATTTCAGTCTCTATAGTGACCGTGGTTTAAAAAGCAATGCAGACAACACTGTGCGGAGCCCGCAGCACGTGTTACAGGGGAGCCCAGAAGAGCAGCGGCACCTGGCTGTGAGATTTGCACACTGAGCCTGGGTGTGTGTGTTATAGGTGTGTCATAAACCTAAAGACAGCTACTAAGACAAAACAAAGAGCCCAGCTACTGAGTCAAAGGAGAAGGTCCAGTCTGAAGTACAGAGAGTGCTCAGTCTGAAAGGAAGGACCAAAGGCAAATGGAGTAGGAAACAAAGTGGGATGTGGCAGACTTAGCTTTAACATCAGTGTCACATCCGGGATAAAGGTCTAACCCACCAATGGAGGAGAGCCAAAGCCTGGACTAAAACCAAGGGAGAACAAGACCAAAAAGCACAGGCCGCCTCCAAATAGGAAAGTACCTAGAGCTGGTACCACTGCTGAGAGCTGACACAGAGCTGACACAGATAACGGCACTGACCACAGGGGCACTGACACGGCAGCCAGGGGCGTACAGTCCCAATCAGCCAGGGCACAGATGGTTACTGACTATAACCACAGCAAGTTTGCAACGTTTATCAAGCCTAAATTGCAGCAGGGAACAGTTCTTCAAAATAGTAAGTGGAATTATTGACAACTTCAAGGAAAATCCAACTACTCTCCAATTACACTACATGACTTTAACACTGCTGTCTCGAAAACAGACAAAACAAGTAGAGAGGAATCCAGTAGGAATACGGAAGCCTCGCACAGCATCAACAGCCTGATGTAACTAAGAAGTACATCCCAGGTAAGACGGGGGATGCTCTACCATGCGGGTACCTTGCCAAGCAGGTACTGTGCCACTGAGCTATATTCCTGGCCGTGCACAAAACCAGTTCGTTTCCGTGTCAGCAGCCAACAGAGCAGCACCATGTGTCGCAGCTCCCAAATGCCCACAGTACCGTGGAGTAGTTAAACGCCTGGGTCCTGAGAAGTTAGACCTCAACAGAGACAGTCTGAATTTACGTGTGGAAAGATCAGCAGTGGGTTAGCCTTCCCAAACAGAGCTACAGGTTAGGCACAAACAAGTCACAATTCCAGCAGGTTTTTGGCAGAAATTTACAACGATGACCCTAAATTCATATGAAAATGAAAGAACGTGAAACAGTCAAAACACTTTGAAAAGCAAACTGAGAGACTAATACAATTTCAAGAACTGTCATAAAGCGAGAGAAAGATTTCTATTCCAGGTCTGGCACTACCATGAACAGGTGAATAAATGGATGTAAGCCTGAATACTTGGTATGATTTTTTTAGGAAAACAATCAGTATTTTTATATTTCCATAAAGAAAACATAAAAATACCTTTGAAATGGCATCCTTTGAACTATATTAAGGTCTTAACTTAGTATAAAATTAAGTAATTCTACACTGCATTTGCATACAAATTATAATGACCTTAGGAAGCAATATTTAGATATTACATGTTAAAAAAAAATCACAAAGACCTAAATTCCTGGTTTTTGCTGAGATTCTGAAAAGCCTGACCTTGATGGAAAGGATGTATCCATCTGAAAAGCATTAATGGTACCTCCGTAAGTAATTTTACTTACAAAGATGAACTGGGACTGGAATTCATCAACACACGAGGGAGCACCGACAAGCTGGTGGTCGCCATTTGTGCCGGGAAGGGCTTTGAGGGTGAAGTTTTTCCTACAACGAAGCTTTTCTTTTTTCTCCTGCTAAGAAAGGTTAATAAAAACCACTGAGGCGCTTTTTTGCTTGTTTATTTGTGGTATGGGGTTAGGTTTAGGGCCTCGGCACTGAAATAACCCCCAGTGATCTCATTTTCATTCTGAGAAGACAGTCTTGATAAATCGTTAAATTGCCCAGGTTGGGCTTGAACTTGTGATCTTCCTGCCTCTGCCTGTCAGGGTGCTGAGGTAGCACAACAGCCAGCTTCTAGTTTTCTTTTATTGAGACAGGACCTTGTTGTGCAGCTCAGGCTGGCCTAGAACTCACTGCATATCCCAAGCTGGCCTCAAACTTGTGGCAATCGTCCTGCCTCAGCCTCCCTGAGTGCTAGGATTATACATGGGATTATACATGTATGTCACTCCACCTAGCTAAATTTTATTTCTTAACTTTGTGCAATTTAATGACTATCTTACTTATTTTCAGGGAAAATGCTTTTAAAAGTCAGTAAATTCCAGAAGTCAGATTACTTTAGAAGAATTTTTTGAAAACACTCTATAGTTTATCTGGAAACACAAATTTTCCTAAAAATGAAGACTGAAAATCAGGCAGGATAGGGATTTAGCCCAGCAGCATAAGCACCTGCCTGGCAAGTGCAAGGTCATGAGTTCAATCCCCAGTACCAAAAAAAAAAAAAACCCCAAAAACAACAACAAAAAACCCCCCAAAAACAAAGAAAATCAGGCAGGATATCCCCTCTCAGCTACTGTAAATACAGTATACAATAAAAATAGCTACAATAGGGGGCTATTTTCTTAGGACGAGCAGAAGTAACTAGACATTGATAAAGGAGATAAGTGCCCTTAGTGGCAGTCAAAATAACTGGAGAAAGCTATAAATCCACACAAAAAGCAATTATAGTCTTTATATATACTTTTTCTCCAAAAATAAGACCTATTTTCAGGGGCCGTCCCTTCTAAAGTCATGCTACAACTTCTCTTCCAGGTAGATCTTACTTTTGGAGAAAGAGTCTCTAACTACAATGAAAAGTGTGCTACTAAAAATTCATGTAAAAATGAAAACCAACAAAACAAAACAAAACCATGAGGAACTAGAAATATTTTAAGGTGGGGAAGTCTAAAATCATATAAGAAAATATATTTGACTATATAGCAAGTCTAATTTTGAAAAAAAAATCAAAGCCATTATCACAATGACAAAAAAAGGTCACTGTAACATAAATGGCAGTTAAATAATTGATATTGTTTTCAAAATAGCTTAGGAAAAAAAATACAGAAGACAACCTGAACAGTTTTCCTAAGACATACAAGCATTCAATTAATGCATGAAAAAATGTAGAAATTCACTAGTGTCCAAAAATGAATTTAAAAAATGGGCTTTCTTTTTCGCATGTCAATTTTAAGACACACAAAGGACCTGGGTGGGCAGCTGCCCGTATGCATAGCCGGTGGTGAGGAAGTTGGTACAAGCTTTGTAGCTCTCTTTGTCTCTCTTTGAAAGACGTGTATCAGAAGCAAAGCTTTAAAAATCTATTACTTGACAATCTTATTTCCAGGAATTTAGTTTGAGGAACGAAGGATATGAGTAAAAATTCTGCTAGAATAAAACTCACTTCAGTGCTACTTTCGGTAGTGAAGAACACATGATGAGCAAATATGACAGTGAAGAGCAGTGACAGAAAACCAGTGCTCATGCGCAGGACTGCTGTGCGCCGCTCATTAATCCCCTATGTCCCGCCCCTGAAGACACCAAGGAGTCCTTGCAAGAATGGGGACAGAGGAACTTCTGTGTTGACGGTGGGACTGTAAATTTGAAAATTGCTTTGGACAACTATAGCACTCTCTACTCAAAACTGAATGTGTACATCCCTGACCTCAATGATTTCTTTCTTTCTTTCTTTTTTGGTGCCAGGGATCGAACTCATAACCTTGCGTTTGCCAAGCAGGCACTTAACGCTGCTGAGCTAAACCCTGGTCCCGACCTCAGTGATTTCTATTTGTAATGGAAACATCAAACACCCTTTATAAAAAAACGTGTACAGGACTGCACCAGAGACATGGAAAAATGTTCATAGCTACACCATTTATAATAGCTTCAAATGAGAAACAACCCAAGTGTTTACAACAGTGGAAGGGAGAAATGTTTGCTCATTTAACAGAACAATGAATTAAAAGGAAGTAAACGGAAAGCCACCGTGCACCATGAAGCCTACAACACTGAGCACTGCACGCTTGGGTCCACTATACAGCAGGCAGTGACACAGGGCAAGGTGGTGGTTACCTCCAGGTGATAGTGGCTGGGGCAGCTGTGTGGAGGGCTGTGGGATACTGGTGAGAAGTGTCACTCCTCATCCTGAGTGAGTCATGAGTGTTCACCAAGTGAAATTCAGTGATTTGTACACTTATAATGTGGGTACTTTTCCACATGTATAAAATTTAAAGCTTACTGAATCAACTTCTCTGGGAGTGGGGCACAGGGGTCTGTATTTTAAACAAACCCTCTGAATAGTGCCTATGTGGATGAACACCTAAAAGCCATCATTATGGGCAGATATTATTCAATACTGTGGAGCAGAGGAGCTAAAGTGCCTATGAGCCTCTGTTGTTAGCAGAAGTGTGGTCTGGGAAGGAAGGCATCCCAGCTCTCTGGCCTCTGATTCCTCAGGTGAGGCAAAGGGAGGAAGAGTATTTCCTGCCTATGGGTGTTTCAACAAGCCAGTGTGTATGTAAAGTGGTTAAAAAGAGAGGACACAAAGTGTAACTGCAAGATGTAAATAAATGTAAGTGAATTTATGCAGAACATGCCTAAATGACTGGAAAGGCATATCTCCAGGTGTTCACAGTATTATTTCTGTGAACACAGTATTGGTTGCTCCATGTAGTATTTTTACTTTTGCTTCTATCACCTAATTTCCTACTATAGTAAAACCTGTATAATAAAGTAGATTTTGGAAGTTAGCAGGCTTGATTTACGATGCCCACATTTCTTACGGTCTTTCTCACATTACAGCTCGATAACACTGTGGGTGGCAAGACGAAACACCCTGAAGGCTGACTGCACAAGACACTGCTCGCTTCCTGAGGGGAGGAAGTCAGCAAGGGCGCAGAAGGGCTCTGGCTCAGCTGGCTCCAGCTGGCAGAAGCGTGGGCTCTGGGGATGCTCTCCCTGAGCCTCCCACTTGGGGTCTGTCCCTCTGTTCACAGTGTTTGACCTCAAGAGATACTGAGGGAGAGGCTGCCATGGCACCATTAGCAAGACGACACAGGATATAAGTAGTTTATTCAGTCCTTCTCTTTTGCTTTTCTGACTTTACTTTCCTCCTGTTATCTTTTTATCTTGGATTTCTCTCTTTTGGCCCCACCTAGACTTTACACTTGTATGTACCTGGTGGCTCTCAGAAGAATACTGTGGTTTGGTCCATAATTCTGCTGTTGACTTCTTTCAGACCCTCAATGTGGAACTGCAGTTCAACCTCATGTTGTGCATGTTTTCTTCAGAGGTTAGGAGCAGGAAAATTTACTGGGGAATAGAAATGGGGAAATAGGAATAGCTCCTGAGAGACAGGAGGGTCCTAAATAGGTTGCTTTCAACCTTCTTATGTTAACCTCAGTTTTTTTAGACAGTAATCTTGAGTTACATCAATTCCTAAGTTAGTGTATTGCTAAACCTGAGTCATGAACTGATATTTAAGTGCCTACCAGTAAAATATTTCTACTACACATTGTGCAAATGGAAGCTGTAGTCTATAAATTAAAAAACCCAAAAGAATGCATTTCAGATAAATAAACAGCAGACATACACAAGAGGCTGAAGATTCTAGCATCATACCACTGAAAATGAGCATTAATGTAAGTAGTATCCCATAAGCTAACCTGTAAGTGGTATGGGGAATCAAATACAGACGGGATGACTCCTGGTTTCAGTTTCAGATTTGGAGCACTTCTGTCAAAATCTGTCTTCTTAAAGTGCCTTGAACACAACACATCTCCTTTTTTAGGCTCCCAAATGCCCGCAGCATTCACATCAAGTCTTTTCATTGCTAATACCCATTTTCTTTTGATGTTTTCATCTGTGGGGAATCTAGAAAAAAATACAAAACAGACTGAAAGCCAATCAACACTTCAATTAATGCTGCCCTCTAAGACTGTGGCTAAACTGACCACTTATCTGGTTTTTCACTACTCTTGGGAAATGCAGTATTTAGGAAGCTATGATGCACACTCAAACACCCCAGATTATTATTCTTACTTTTGGGCCAATTCTGCAGACATACGGCCCTTATTTTTCTCATATGAGAGAAAAGTTTCACTGATATTTAGCATGCTATAGTAAGATCCACAATAAAAGGTTTGTAAGTGATAACTAGAACTGCTCCCTAGTGAGCAGGGCCCTTTGCCCTTTCTTCTGTTAGCATCAGAGAATTACTTATTCCAGCAATTATGGCCCAGTAGGTCTATAAATGCTTAGTGGATCAATGAAAAGAACGGCAGCAGAATTAGGATTCTGGGTATCAGAAATATTCTGAGATATCTGGAGGCTAATAATCATGTCTTTCTCAGTGTTTCATGGTAGTTCAAATCTTTTTTTTTTTTTTTAATAAGGTAGGTATACACAGTTATTTCTGAATTTCACATAGCTAGAAAACTACCTAGCAGATCTTTCTCTAGCACAAAACACCATGCCTGGCACAATGGTGGCAAAATCAACCTCTAGCAGAGGAACAATGATTAAATCCTCTTATTCATCTTCTACTGCTGCCAGAGAAATGGCTAAAATAAAGATCATCTTAGCTGCAACACTGCTTGGACTGAACTGTAATTTATACTTTACAAACTACCCTTGACCATCTGTTTCTTAATAGGTCAAGATATTTGAGCAAAAATCCTTTATATTTTGTAAACAAGGCAGACATTGCTTTAAAGAAAATACAGTGTTAAAGCACAAAGTAATAACTTTAGCAAAAGTTGAGTTTCATGGTATTTTTTTAATGAGTCTGACACCTTGGCAGGTATTTTAAAATTTGCACTAAACTACAAGAATAATGGTGTTGCTGTCATCGCAAATTTAACAAAAAGCTCATTTAGAAGTAGAACTTCAAGGATACAAAACGATTATCTCGCGTGAACAGTGCCCAGGCCAGCACTTGGGGACTGAGTTCGGGGTCGCCTGTAGGAGTGGCTGTCCGCTCCGTGCCGGGGAGGCGCCTGTGGGCTCGGTGGGCCTTACGCGTGGAAAGTCAGCCCTCTCAACTTGGAGTTGGGGAGACAGCGGGAGGCGCATCCGATGGCTGAGCAGCATTTCACCATGACTTCAGCGGTTCATCGCGGCGCTGAAAGACAGTTATAGAGGAAAGCGGTGAGACTGGAGGGGGGCGGATCCCCCTCGCCGGCCATCAGGAGCCTCGCGACGGCGCTGGCACCGGCGGAGTCCTCGCCCTCTGCGCGTGGGTGCCGGGTGGACCCGCGTCTCCCCCTGGCCGGATCCCTTCCGCACCCTGAGTCCGCTGCTCAGCCCTGTCCTCCGGTACCCGCGTCCTGCCCCGTCGCCCCCGCCGTCTCCCGGGCCCTGGGCGCGCCCGCTGTCCTTACTGTCCGTCCCGGCGGCGCCGCGGTGGCCGGCACAGGCCCGAGCTCCCGCGTACCCGAGTGAAACACGCGCAGGAGAAGGCCCGGGAGCGCCCGGCGGCGCGGGGCACGGAGAGCTCCCCAGTCGGCGCCGCAGCGGCGGGGCACAGCCGGCCGGCAGCCCCGCCCGTGAATAGCTGCGGCGACAGCGCGTTCACTTCCGCCGGGCGCGCGGAGACCGGAAGTGCGCGTCACGTGACGGCCCGCATCACCGCGGCGGGCGGCGGCGGCGCGACGGGGCGGCGGGAGGCCTCCGGCGGTGCGGATGGCGGCCACGGCGCGCGGGTCGAGGCGGCAGGGCTGTGAGCACTATGACCGCGGGTGCCTGCTGAAGGTGACGCGCGGCTTGGGTGGGCACGGGGCAGGGACAGGGCGGCGGCGCTTTCGCGACCCGACCCAGGCCCCAAGTGCGTGCGGCGGGCGCCGGCCCGCGAAGTTGGGTCCGGGAGTGGTGAGGCGGCGCCAGGCGGCCGGGAGTGCGAGGGGGTGGGGGTCACGGACGGGTGACAGGTGGGTCGGGTCGTCCGCGCCTGCCCGCCTGCTAACACCGCAGGCGGGGGACGGAGACACGGGGACTGGTGTCTGTTTCGTCGCTGTTTCCGGGGAGGAGAGCCCCAGTGCAGAGATCAGAGTCGGCCCCGCCGGGGTCAAGTGCCGGGCTCGGGCTTGGGGCAGCGCAGAAGGTAGAGCAAAACCCCAGTGTGCAGGAGGCCCCGGGATCACTCCCACAACCCCACTCTCCAAAACAGAAAATCAGCTCGCTTTGAAATCCTGTACCCTTATCCTCAAATCTTAACTGCGTCTCTTAACAGCGAAGTGACTGAGCACGCTCTTGTTTAATTTTCCCCTACTTAAAATAGGGATCTCAGCTAAAGGATTGCAGACTACGGTGCCTGCGTGAGGCGCTTTCTCTGGAGTGACTGGTGAATTCTAGTTAACTACCATCGCCGTCATCTTCATCTTCATCTTCATCTTCATGTGTTCGGTCCGTTTATTTCACCAGTCAGTCCTTGTAGTCCCTGACCTCAGAGATGAGAATCAGGAGATACTCTTGGCATCCGGACAGCCGGAACCCTTCCCTGGGTCACTGCGCTGGCTGAATTGAAGCTCCTTCAGCCCTACTGAGATCTGTTACCCCCAGCACAATTGCTGTCTAAAAGGAATCTTGCCCTCTCTTCACTCTGAAGAAACCACACAACTCAGTCTTTTCTTAGGACTGAGATACTTGGCCCTGAGGAAGCTCAAACACTTCCTTTTCTCTGAGTACTAGAGGCCAGTGAGGTGTCAAGGAGGAAGTGATCTGCTAGTTCCGGAGTGCAGCAGCTTAAGTCAGATAAGAATTTAGAATTGGCATTTGAATTTGGCCAGGAAATGAGTGATAATTGTGACCTGTGTAAATGAAATGTCAGTGGAAAGATTGGGTTAAAATCTGATTGGAATGGATTCAAGAGAATGGCAGAATTGAAAGTAGCATGAATAAAACGTTCTTGGCGTTTTGCCTCGTTAAGTTTTACTGGAGAAAAGGCAGGGAAAAAAAGAGGCCATTGTTGCTGAAGTGAGGGATCATGAGACTATTTTTTTCCCTTTTAAGGTAGGAGGTGTTACAGCATACGAGGTGTTCCTATTGTTGGAAATGATCTGATAGAGAACATGGTATAATGTGGGAGGAGGAGGGGAGAAGACTTGTTAAGAGGATGGTCCTTGGGTAGGCAAAGGGGAAGAGACCAGTGCCTAAGAGACAGAGCTGGCCTTTGGGCCATGGGCTAACTGGAGATGCTTTATAAAAGAACAAAAGGCACAGGGAGGGGTATATTTGCAAATAGGTTGATAGAATTTGTGGGAGGATGTTTTCTTGTATTTCAGTTTAAAGAGGCAAGGTTGTCAGCAGAGTGTTAAGAGGGAGATATTTAGAGAGCAGAAAATACGAAGTGGTTATCTAATTGAGTCTTTGGCTCTAGAAAAAAGTAAGGAATTGTGGTAGTAGGGTTTTGCTTTTTCATGGCTGGTTATGATTTAAAAGTGAGCTCAAGGCCGGGTGTGGCCGTGCGGGTCTGTAATCCCAGCACTCAGGTGCTTTAGGCTAGAGGATTGCTTTGAGTTCAGGGCCAGCCTGGGCTACAAAGTGAGTTCAAGGCCAGCCTGTAGAGGAAGAGAGGAGGGCAGTCAGGTGCATGCAAGGGACGGCTGGGAGTTAATTGAATAGAGAAGAAACTAGTTAGAGTTTTGTTTTCAAAACTGAAATTCGAGGAGGTACAGTCTTGTAGTGGACCAGTGGTTCTCCAAGTGTGGTGAATGGACCCTGGGGTTCCCTAGGACTGTGAGGTTGAGACTGCTTTCTAGGAGTACAGTACTAAGACATCACATCAGTTGTCCTTTTCAGTGTGTGGATACCTGGACTGATGGTGGAGGGCAGTGGGGAAACCATTAGCATCCGTGCTGAAAAACTGATGGTGGGATCAAGACAAGGGCAGTGTACTCTATGTGTGTGTGTTGGTTTTTGTTTTGGAGACAGGGTTTTGCTGTGTACTCCAGGTTGGCTTTGGGTTCACTGTAGCTCAGGTTGGTTTCCAACTTGTGACGATCCTCTTGTCACACTACGCTTGGCTGTGTGTGTGTGACTCTTAATGCCATTGATGAAGCAGTAAAGCTACTGTGTCATTTATCAAGTCTCATCCCTGCATGCATGTTCTTTAATATTCTGCTTGACAAAATGGGCAGTTTTAATCAAGCACTTTATCTTGTGGAAAAGCTCGTATGTAATTGGATTGTAATGTGAACTGGTCACTTTTTTCATTTTTCCCTTGAAAAGCTGTGCTAATTTAGATTTGGGTATTTGGCAGACATTTTCTCAAAAAGTCTTGTTGTAAGGGAGAGAATTGACAGTATATTTTTTGCCAGTGATAGAATTCAAGCTAACTTCAGTGAGCTTGTTATTAGAAACTAACTTGCCAATACCAAATGACTGAACGAATGAATTTTTGGTTACGCATCAGATGTGCCAGCATTGGAAGATCTGTATAATTCAGTGAAGTGGTGTTTTGTAGATAACTCATGCGTGGGTAGAAGAACCTTCCAAGCACAAGACAGGTGAATGGCTTTCACTAGACTGGAAAGTAGTTTCAGGTTGTGTTGCAAGTGACATTTAAGAGTTGTTTTGGTGTAGTATCCATTCCTTTGAAAAGGCTTTAAAATGTTCTTTCCTTTCCTAGGTACTCCCTGTTTGTGTGAGGCCAGAGTGAAACACAGAAGTTTACTATGAGAATTCAGCTGTTTTGGGAGGGGGACATAGAATTGTCCTTAAAATGTTTGTTACATGTGGTAAACTTGATACTTTTATTTAAATAGAAACCTATCAGTTGTAGCTTATGATATGGCTACAGGAGTAGACAGAATACAGATAGTCAGAAGCTCCTTGACCTGCCTAGAAACTTCGAGGACCAACAAGTGGGCGCTTGTTCTGTGTTAGATGAGGAGGATTGGAGGACAAGGCCATGCAACAAGGAGCTGATGCTTTAGACTAGTTGGGAGGGCTGTCTGGGACATGCAGATCACTGAGATTTACAGGGCTAGTGTAGAAGAAAAAGGAAGCCAGCTTGGAGTTGAACAGTGAAAAAGCAATCTTGGCTTAAGGGGCCTCAAGATCAGATCTGCAAGGTCCTAGAATCCTGATGAGTGTTGGGTCAGCCTCTGCCTGAAAGTCTGTGTGTGCTCGTTAGGGTTAGGGAAAGACTCACTGGTAAACACCAGTGAAGAACAGAGTCTCTTTCTTTCTGCCTCATGGTTCCTAGGTGGGTGATCTGGATTACTGATGGAACTTTGTTCCTGCGGTCGAGCCAGGGACACATTTTCATGGCACTGTTTTTTTCCAAGCTTTTGGCAATCCAGGTTGCACAGCTGCAGTGTAGCTGGGTGTTCAGGTACTCAGGAAGGAGGGGAGAAAGACTTGGTGGCCAGCTGCCATCTTTGCCATGCTTGAAAGCAAAGGCTGTCTCTTCCTTCTTACCATTGCTGCATCTGCAATGAGGGATGTGGTTGAGGACTAATCACTGTTTATTGAGTAAATACGCATTTTGTGTTTGGGGATTAAAGTAAGGAAGCACATTTATTAGGATGTTTAGAAAGGAATTGGCTGTCTGCTGTAGGCTGAGAATGAGCAGGGTGTGGAGGGCCTGATTTTTAGGCTGGTGACCTCTCCCCTCTTAATTCTTGTGTTTTGGTGTTGGAGGTGTTGAAGGAATACTTAGCATAAAATGTGGCAGGACACAGTACAGTTAGCAGTGACCTTATAGGCATAATCTCTGACTGTCCCTGAAGAGGAGAAGAGCATGTGCTTTTCGCATGGCTAACATGTCTTCTCTCGCTGTGTGTGTCTTCTCCGTTGTAGGCACCTTGTTGTGACAAGCTTTATACTTGCCGGCTGTGTCACGATAACAACGAGGATCATCAGCTAGACCGCTTTAAAGTACAAGAAGTGCAGTGCATCAACTGTGAAAAAATTCAGCGCGTAAGGTTTTATGACATGTTTTTTGCTTCTGTCTGTCTTGTCTACCTGTCTGTTTGCTTTGAGGTCAGGTCCAGGCTGGGTTTGAACTTGTGACCCTCCTGTCTCAGCCTCCTAGAGTGCTGTAATTATAGGTGTGCGCCACTACATACACCTGACTAAAAAAAAAAAAAAAAAAAAATTGTAAGATAGTGAAAAAAATGTCAAAAAATTATAAATAAGACTAACTCTTAGAATAAGCAGTGTCTTTGGTTTAGATGTGTAAAAACTTGTAAAAATAAGTATAGTTTAAGTCTTGATAGGTAATGCTGGGCATGGTAGTACATGCCTGTAATCCCAGCACTTGGGAGGCTGAGTCAGGAGGGTCTCTGAGTTTAGTGCTAGATTGGCCAAACAGAGTTTAAGGCCAACTCATCTACTGCTTAGTGAGACCCTGTCTCAAAACAAAAGACAAAAAACAAAAACACTACTTGATATTCAAATAGTAATTCTAAATGTTTTGGTAGGTGTATTGCCCCCGCCCTCCGTTTTTTGGTGTTTTTGAGACAGAATTTCACTGTCAAAGCCTTGAAGTTACTTTGTAACCCAGGTTGGCCTTGAACTCAAAGTGATCCTCCTGCTCAACCTCCTGAGCACTGGGATTATAGGTATGTGCCACCACACCCAGCAGTTTATTCCTGTATTTATTTTTCTGTTTTTAGGCTAAGCAGTCTTGTGAAGATTGTAGCACATTGTTTGGAGAATATTACTGCAGTATATGCCATCTGTTTGACAAAGATAAGAAGCAATATCACTGTGAAAACTGTGGAATTTGTAGGTACTGTATGTGAAATGTTTCCTCTTTCTTTTTTCTTTCTTTGGAGACAGGTCTGGCTGTGTCAAGCAGGCTGGCCTCAAGCTCATGAGGATCCACCTGCCTCAGCCTCCTGAGTGCTGGGATTACATGCTCAGCCTCCTGGTTACCTCTAATGTACCTAGGCAGTACCAGTTTTAAAAATCACTTTTATTAGAGTATAATTTACTTTTGATAAATTACATCTGCATTCAAGTGTCCATTTCAGTGTGTTTTGATCTGTCTCTCTTGAAATACATTACACTGTTAGAAATTTTTTTCATCTCTTTTTATAGTAGTTTGGCACTCAGCTACCATGTGGTTGTTTTTATTTCATTTTTTTGTGGTACTGGGAATTGAACCTTTCTGCTTAGCTGTATCTCCAGCCCTTTTTTATTTTTCAAGATAGCATCTTAATTCAGTTGCGAGGTTGTTAAGGCAGTACTTGAATTTGTATTCTCCTGCCTCACACTCCTGGAGTGCTGGGCTCACACTGCCACACCTGGCCTGAGTACTTTTGCATCCACACATGTGTTCAGCATGTGCCATTGTGAGCCATACTAAGTAAATCTTGGTGTACCAGCCTCATAGAAGATGGGAAAATCTTCCGGTCATACGGTATTTTAGCAAACACTGATGATTTCAAGTTACAAAATTTTGATGATTTCAGGATACCATCTTTTTCTTCCAAAAATTGGTTATTCATTCCCTTTTTTTTTCTTTGTGGTGCTGGGACTGGAATTTAAGGTCCTGCACCGTGAGGCAGTGTCTCTCTCTGCGCAGCTCTGTCCCCATTCTTTTCCTCGTGTGAGAACGTTTGCCCATACAGTGCTAGTGAACCTGCTGGAGATGAGGGCCCAGACTGCACCCTAAAGCCTGCTAGCGCATTGCAATAAGACCTGCGGTTTTAGCTTAGAAAGCACCAACTCATACGTGAACATCCTTTGTCTCAAAAGAAAAACCCAATAATACGAGTGCCGAGGGTCTGCCCCAGCGGTTGAGGGTATCGTCATCTAACTGACTGCTCCTGGGACCAGTATCGCTATCTGGAGCAGCAGCTCTTCCTCTGAAGGTGTTTGGCAGCTTGGAAGACATGGCTGCCACGCCAGGGGTGCAGGAGTGCTGTGGTGCCTGCCAGGCAGTAAGGGGTGTTGCTGGTCATCCTGCAGTGTGCAGGACAGTCCCTGCCTGCAAGCACGCTCCCGTCCAAGATGGCCACAGTGCCTGTCCCGGGCTGCCTTGCTGCTCTCCGCCTCTTTGCATTTTGTCTTCTTCCATGTCTTGAATTTCCTCTGTTACTTTTTTCTCATTGCCTTTGAATGGAAAAGGAAAATTCTGATTTCTCAGCTGTGTTTATAGAAAACTAAAAGCGTCTACAAAACAGAGTCTCCAGACCTTAAAATACCTTCCTGGTTGATAAGTGTAGGGCTGTGAGCAATGGGATGAAGATGGAAGGGTTTGCAGTAGTGATACTATTTCATGTTGTATCAGTTTTTCTGGTGCTTCTGTTGTATTCTAGTTTTTTGGTTAGGATAGTTGGAAATAATTGGTAGTTTGTATAAATTTTAGGATACTTAATTATCAAAATGTTTCAAGATAGAGAAAAAATAAGAAATTTCTCCTTTGTTCTTTGGGAGAGCTCTAATACCATAAAATATTAACCCCACCCCCCCAAAAAAAATTAGTCTTCAAAACAAAATTAAAAAATCTGCACCAGGGCACAGAATGGATGTTTTATGATGTAAGCTTTGTAGTCTTAAAAATATGATAAATACTAAATTTACTCTACATCATTGCTTTGGACTTCTAATTTGCTTATTATGTACTGTGGATGTCTTATAAGACTGTTGGCTTTTATTACTGGGGCATAGAACTTATTTTCATAATCAGTGGCATATAGTTAGGAAATAAGGTATACAGTACCTAAGATGTTTTCGAATAAAAAAATTATTATTTTTTTTTTTTTTTGGACAGAAATCAAACTCAGAACCTTACACTTCCCAGACAGGTGCTCTGCTGCTGAGCTATATCCTTGGCCCTGTTTCATGTATTTTTGAGTATCATAAAATTATGTGACGCAGGTTTTAGACCGATGGTTATGATCACTTCACATAGGTACTTCAGAGGAGGTGTTTTCATGTCTGTTGTCATCTCTCGGAAGACCCTTGAATGTCTGTTTTGCAGTTGCCTTGAGTGCTGTGGCTCCCTGGAAACCCACCCTCCTGAAGGATTTGTAAACTTGTTTTGATTTTTAAAAAAAGTTCCTCACAGGTACTGAGAACAAAATCTATTGAGATTGACAGATACTGTCTTTGGTCAGAAATGACATATGACCATTAAATAATTATTTTTAAGTAAAAAAGCTCTCAAAAAATATGTTAAAAAATGTTTGTGTAATGGCAGCATTCTGTCATTTTAAAAATTATGTCGAGGCTGGCATGGTGGTGCATGCCTGTAATCCCAGCACTTGAGAGGCTGAGGCAGGAGGATCACTATGAGTTCAAGGCTAGCCTGGGTTACAAAATGAGCTCAAGGCCAGCTTAAACTGCATAGAGAGACCCTGCCTCAAAAAGACAAAAAAAAAAAAAAAAAAATCATGTCATTTGAATGTATGAATTCTTACATTTCCACTTAAATGTCAATCACACATTTATCCACCTGAATTTAGAGCAAAAGTGACGTTTTAAAGTAGGGGCAAGAGTCAGACATAGCAATGCACACTTGTCATCCCAGTGTGTTGTAGGCTGAGGCAGGAGGATTTCCATGAGGCTGAGCCTGCCTGGGCTATGTAAGTAATTCATGGCCAGCCCACACTGTGTAGACCTTGTCCCCACAAAACCCCAAACAAACGAAAACTAGGGACAAGGATATTGGGATAGTTGATTATTCATTTGGAAAATACAAAGTGGATTCTTTTTTTTTTAAAGAGAAACAAAAAACAAAAGAACCAGCTACAACAGCAGCAGTAACAAAAACCCCCAAATACGGATTTCAGGTCAAGATGATAGGAATTTAACAGTGGTTGTTAGTTGCCTAGTGTTGTCCTCAAAAGCATTGCTCAGATCACCCAATGCTGGCCTGCAGCGCTGATTGCTGACGGCTCCTGTCCTTGCACTAATGGCGCTAGTGATGCAGTTACCTTAGCTGTCTTGTGTATGTATATATTTATATCTATTTTTTCCTTTTCCCTTCCATCTTTTCTCCCTTCTCCATCTCCGGTTGCTCTTTCCCTTTGAGCAGTTTTCTTTCCCTTTCACAATATATGTTGCACCTTTTGGATCTTACTTTTTTAGTTTCTTACACCAGGAAGACAATGTGGTGTTTACACCTGTGAGTCTGGGTTTTGGTACTTACAAGTAGGGTCTCATCCATTTCTATTGCATCCATTTACCTGTAAAAGCCTTGAGTTTATCCTTCTTTACAACTGAGTTGTACTCCATTGTATAAAAACACCACATACAAGTGCATTCTGAAGTCTCTGTATTCACTGGAGTGTGATTTTACCATCGTGCAGCAGGAAGCTAAAATAACAGTGACTCCTCAGGAAAGGTAGAGGTATATTTGTCTTAGTGAAGTCCTGGCTCCTTTTTCCCCTTTCTCTGCGTGGGAATTCCTTGTCTGTACAGGCTCCTGTTTGGGCCAGTAGGGCGGTTGGTGAAAGGAAGGATATCCTGTCCTCTTACGGGCACAGCAGAATTTGATTGCTCTCTTCTATCCACAGTCTCCAGAGAAGGTGGAAAGCAATATTTATCCTGGACAGCTTTGAATAAGTCAGTGCATAGTTAAATGTTCATTTACTGTGGAGGAAGTAGAGAGTAGAAATTTAGGGACAACTGGCAGTCTTGCCTTTCCCCTGTCTAATGTAATAAACTTCAGAAGCACTAGGAAAGAGTACAGAGGAAAAGCTGCAAGTGTTTGTGGCGTACAAAGGATGGTAAGTTTATAGTCTACAGTTGCTGGAAGTCATCTGGGCAACAGGTTTTTAAGAAGCATAGTGACAAAGGAAAGTGGCTGTGCCAGGCAAGGTGGCGTTCACCTGTAGCTTTATGTACTTGAGGGGCCGAGGCACCAGAACCATAAGATGAGTATTTTTCAAATGTAAAAATGTATCTTCACAAGATGTTTCATTTTTTATTGTAGCAACTGAAGGTTGTAAATTTTAGTTAACAGTAAAGGAATACTTTTAAAAATGACAATATATAGTATCTGTAACATACTAATACTGTTATTCTGAAAGAGTTGTGTGTGTGTTAAGAAAAATAAAGCAGTTCATTATAGTAGGTGTAATCCTCAGAATATATTGTTAAATGAAAAAGTTGCAAAACACAGGCAGCACAGTGAGATGTGCTGTCGCCAGAGGAGGAGGAAGGGTGCCAGAGGAGAGGTGACCAGTCCAGAAAGTAAATGTAACATAGTAATACCCAGCTGCCTGAAGACTTTCTGTACAGTGGTACAGACAAATACCACAGTAGAGAAATGCGCAGAACAGGTCAACAGAACAGCTACAGACAAACAGTCCGCAGGGTTCATAAGCAGTAGAATGTGTTCTGCCTTGTGATTTGAGAAATGTGGATTTGTTTTTGTTATGGGTGTAGCAAGTGTTGGCCAGGCTATGGGACAGTGCCCTCTGCTGCCAGGCACTGTGGGTAGGACACTAAGGCCATACTTCCTTGTTGGAGGTCAGTTTGGCGGTGTCTCAGTGAATGACTTGGTACCTCCAGACGATTCAGTAGCCTCACTTTCAGGAACCTCCTTTAAAAATGTATCTTCACAAGATGTTTCATTTTTTATTGTAGCAACTGAAGGTTGTAAATTTTAGTTAACAGTAAAGGAATACTTTTAAAAATGACAATATATAGTATCTGTAACATACTAATACTGTTATTGTGAAAGAGTTGTGTGTGTGTTAAGAAAAATAAAGCAGTTCATTATAGTAGGTGTAATCCTCAGAATATATTGTTAAATGAAAAAGTTGCAAAACATCCTATAGGGAAGAATCTCTTGGTGTAAGGAATCAAACCCAGATTGTAGGTGTCTGTCCTTTCTCTCTCCCTCCTTCTGGATGTGCAGCTGTATAGTGGGACCCAAGCAGCATTAGGTGGGTGGGTATCATTCTGTTTAAGGTCCTTATATTCGGAGACAGGAATGGTGCTGAGGTCAGTGTTTATCCCATATCAGTGAGGTTTAAATTTTTTTTTTTAAACTGTAGAACTATCTTTAGGTGATGTATTATGAACAAAGTATCCTGTAAAATATGTAATCTTTTGGCTTTCTTATGTTTTGTTAGGATTGGTCCAAAAGAAGACTTTTTCCACTGTTTGAAATGTAACTTATGCCTAGCTATGAATCTTCAAGGCAAACATAAGGTATGTAAATGAGTTTGCAAATTTTAAAAGTAGTAAAATGTTTTCAAAAAGGAGCTTAAGGGACTGAGGATGTAGCTCAGTGGCAAAGGCAAGGTCATGAGTTCAATCCCTGGTATCAAAAAAAGAAAAAAAAAAGGAGTTTAAATTACAGTAACACTTATAGAATAGAAAGGCTTCAAACCTTGTTATTGTGTTATCCTAAGTGCTTTGTATTGGTCAACTTTTCCTTTGGTGGCACAAAATACCCAACAGCTACAGCTTAGAGGAAGAGAGGTTTATTTGGCTCATAGTTTATGGTGGCTTTGGTGACACAAGACTTCAGGAACACATTTTAGATGCAAACCCTGTTGTACCTCAACTCCTGGTTCACTTTCCTCCTGTCTACCAAATAAAGGTGAGATGCAGCGTGGTATATTGAGCATTTTTGCTATTTCAGGAAGTGTGAAGCCTGACATTGATGTGAAAATTAAAGACTTACTAAACTGACACGAGAAGCATGTTTTAATGTTAGCTATTGCTTTTAACAAGTTGCTTTTGGGGCTGGGGATTTACTTAGCGGCATAAGCACCTGCCTTGCAAGTGTGTGGTCGTGAGTTCAATCCCTGCTAATAATAAAAATGAAAAAGACAAAAAAAAAGTTGCTTTTATTTTAGCTTTTGCTGTCAGTACTACTGTTACAGCTGGCATTTTTATCTGATTAAGCTTTCACTAACCTGAGTTTCACTTTTAAACAGTGTATTGAAAATGTTTCTCGGCAGAACTGTCCCATATGTTTGGAGGTGAGGTGAAATGCTTTGCACTGGGGAGGTCGCCCGCCCCGCTCATCCCGCTTGGTTGGGAATCCCTGGGAGTGGGTGCTGTCTTCATTCAGCATTCGAATTTCCCTCTGCAGGACATTCACACGTCCCGTGTTGTTGCTCATGTCTTGCCCTGCGGACATCTTTTACATAGGTAAAAATAGTTTCTTCTCAAAGATGTTTGAAAATAGTGGCATTTTTGGAAAGGAAATGAGAGTTTGTTTTACTAAAATACTGTTATTTTCTTTCAGAACATGTTATGAAGAAATGTTGAAAGAGTGAGTTTTCATGGAATTTTAAAAATTATAATTGTAAGATGTCTTTCCTTTGCGTGTGTGAGTAGGGAGGTGGGGGGCAGATACAGCTGCTGCGTACACCTTCCTAGGCCTGGCAGGCGCTTTTGTCAGACCAGGAGGACAGCATTGGTGGACGGCCTAACCTGGCCCAGCAGTTTAGGAGATTTGAGACTGCACCTGAACTCCTGTTATGCCTTAGCTCTCCCCCAACTCAAGGGGATACCTGTGGTCTCTTAGCCTAGCTTATCAAGGGATCTAGTCCCTGCCAGAGGTGGTCACAGTATTGTGGAGACACCCAGGAATGGTGCTAAAGATTTTCTTAGGTACTAAATTGATCCAGTGATTAACAGCAAGGAAAACTAATTAAGAGACTATTTAAAAGTAGGACAAAAATGAAATGAGAAGTAGCTAGGAAGAGAGGACTATGTAAATGTATTTTGATTCTAATCGTTGGTTAGAAATGTTAATAACCAAACAGAGGGGTCTTGTTTCAAATTTTAAAAAAGAAATAAGAAGATCTGAATAATTTTTAGGGACCATAATCTCTTCTTTGCAGAAATACATTAAAAAAAAAACTGAGGTTGTTTAAGTAAGGAGTAGCTGCATTAGTGTTTTTAAGTATATGAAGTATATTTTATGAAGAATGTGGACTGGTTCTGTCTTAGAGGACTGAGGAGAAAGACTTAGGGTTTTAGAAAACACCATAAGATACAGGGTTTAATTTGACTCTCTTGCAGTGAGGTTTCCCAGGTCACTATGAGATTGCCTCAAATAGAGCTGATGACTGGAAGGCTTCTGACTGCTGGGCATGCAGCTGCCGCGCCCGTCAGTGACGCTGTTCTCTGTCTTCTCCTGCAGAGGCTACCGGTGCCCGTTGTGCATGCACTCTGCCTTAGACATGACTCGGTACTGGAGACAGCTGGACAACGAGGTGGCCCAGACGCCTATGCCGTCCGAATATCAGAACATGACTGTGGATGTGAGTACAGCCCATGCTTACAGTTCCTCAGGCTTCTCGTTGACACTTTTTAAAAACTTTGCTCTTCATGCTGAAATTCATGTAAAATGTGCTCTTGGGAATCCAGCCAAGAGTCTCGATTATCAGTCTCAAGAATGTAGCAACAAAAATAAAAAACAGAGACAAACATCGTATTCCAACAGTGGCTGGGAAGTCAGTGTCTCTTGATCCGGCCTCCTCACTCCCGTAGCAGCCACCCTTTATTCCTTTCATACTGAGAACAGGTGGGGCTGGTAAAGAGTCATGACTCCTCCAAAGACTTGGGCTCAAGAGGGTGTGGGTGATCTCTGGCTTAGAGGTATCCTGACCTTGAGTATAATCCTGAGATGATTCCCAGAGTCATAAGTGCTCTTACGCTTGGAAGAGTCAATGGGAAATCTCAGATGGGTGGTACCAATAATCCCGATTCTTCCTTTTATCCCATAGAGAAATAAGTAAAATTAGCCATTGTGAATCTGTGGTCCCCAACAATTGCATTGACAAATATCATTGTGATGCTTAGTGAGAAAAAAATGATCTTAGATTTTAGTATTGTGGAACGTTAAGGCCATTAAGAAAAAGTTCTAAGAGTGCAGTTCTTTGTGCAGTTTTTCCACCTGTGGACGGCAGACATCAGTGATGTAACTGCCTGGTGGGGTGGGGGGTGGGGATTACTGCTGTTTGTAATTATTTTCACTTTTATTTCAGGGAAACATAGGTGCTGAGTTTCGAAGTTTACGTTTTGGTTTTTCATGTTTATTATTGTTTTTGAATTCTATGTTAGACTTTATTTGGTATAAATAAGCCTATAATCTAGTATAAAAAGTATTTTTGTGCCTTGCCTTACAGAGAATGATCATCTGTTTTCCATTAATTGGGATGTGCTGCTCTAGTTTGTTTTCAGCACAGTACTGAGTTATACGAGGGGTGGTCCAAATGTGAATGCTTAAACTTGAAAATTTGTTGCCATTAAGGCATTGCTGTCACTCCTCCTCAGAGTATTTGCTCTCACTTTAGACACGCATGTCCCATCAGCGGCTCTGGAAGTCCTCTTTTGTTAGTGTCTGTATGAGATACGATGAAAAATACAGTGAGGGGAAAAGGAAGCTTATGCGTCCTTGTTCACCTTGTAACTGTATGGTTCTGGTGCTTACCCAAGTCAAAATGACCATGAAAGACAAATGTTTTAAATCAAATGAGGACAGCAAGGCAGCCCGTGAGAGAGAGCATAGCAAAGACACTGATGAAAGAGGACTTGAGGGCCTGCTTCAGACTGTGGCAAGGTGATGGGATAAGTGTGTCTGAAGTGGGAAGAAGCACTTCAGGGAGAGTTGGTGACAGTTGTTTTCACACACTGTATTTTTGAGAACATCTTGTAACTCAATGGGAAAGCTTGATAGGCTTTCTAGTGTTTTAATAATTTTTAGACATAAACATTTTCTGAACATGTTCAAATACTTCTACACACAAAGATAAAAACCAGATAATAAAGAAACATTTTTGGTTTGATTCATATTGGAAAGTTTCATAATTTACTGAATTAGTTAATGTGGACAGAGTCATGAGTTCAATTCCGAATACCCAAAAAAAAAAAAAAAAAAAAAATCAACAACAAAAACAGAATGGTCATTTAAGAGTTTGAATTTGTAATTCTGTGATTTTTTTTTTTAACCAGAGGGTGAAGTGTATTGTATTTCATATAGATATTTTTCAAACAATAATTTTGATAAGATACAGTTCATACACTGTACAGCTCATTCGTTAAAGTGTACAGTTCATTGCCTTGATTTTATTCATGGAATTGTGCAAACATTACCACAACTTCAGAACATTTTCATCGTCCAAAAAGAAACCCTGTGCAATACCCACTAGCACTCATTTTCTAGCCTCACGGGATCTAGGCAATCTTTGTACATTTAGGCAATACTTTTAAATGGATTGGATTCCAAATTATATCTTAGAATGAGTTTGGAAATTTTCTATTTACGATGATTTGAATATTCTAAAGCTTATGCTTTACTGCATAGTAGTATACTGATCTATTTTAAGAATAACTTTTTTTTCCACTTTTCAGGATTGAAGGACCAGAAGAGATTTATTATAAAATATCATTTTGTCATTTTAAAGATATCTCTTTATTCCGTTTTAGGAAACATTCTTTTTTAGACTTCAATTTATTCCTGAGACATAGTGGACTGAGACTTTGTGTAATAAAACTAAAAAATAAGCTTAAAAAAGCAAATATAAAGTAAATCTCACTTTCATTAACTGAGATAAATTTGTCAGTGCCAGTGAGGAATAATTAAATGTTATATTTTAAATTGTAAATATGAAGTATTGATCTGATTATACCTTGGTTAAATTTTGTTTGTACTGTTTATATTATTTGGGAGCGCTGTTGTGTTTTCTTTTTGGGAGAGTGGTGCTGAGACTGAATTCATGACCTTGCACTTGCCAGGCAGGCACTGTGCTACTGAGCTATATCTCTGAACTACTGTATTTTAAAATAAGCCACCTTTGGTTAAGCTGTGTTTTTATTTTCTAAATTTAGAACTACCCTAGTAGGTTCTTAGACTTTTCACTGAAAGCACAAAGGCGTTTCCCTTTAGGAGATGTTTAGGCATAGTGTGTGTTTTCTTGTGTGGGATGTTGTCAGGTGATTGTGGGCAGTGGCCTTAGTATGTATAATTTGAAGTACTTGCTTTGAAGTTCTCTCTTCACTTTTCAGATTCTCTGCAATGACTGCAATAGACGATCCACTGTCCAGTTCCATATTTTAGGAATGAAATGTCAGATTTGTGACTCCTACAATACTGCTCAAGCTGGAGGCCGTAGGATTTCACTGGATCAGCAATGACCAGCTGTACGTCACAGGAAAGCTCAGCTTTGTGATGTAGAAAAATGCTCTGTGGAAAAGCACTTGTGTCGTACTGTGTCACAATCAGTGCATACTGTCCCAGTGTCGCAGCACACATCCCTAACACAAGGATGGATTCAGGGCTCTGTGGAGTCATCATAGCTCTCTACCTGAGGAAAGCCCCTGCTTGTGTCGGGTTGGAATTTCCTTAGTGTCAGTTGTTGGGAAGCTGAGGATGTTTGTTAATGAAACTCGTAGCAGTATATTACAACTCCGTGGAATTTCATTCTAGTGTCACTGCACACAGTTCATTTCTAGTTCTTTATAGAACTAGACTTCTCATTGTATTCTTTAGGCGCTGCACTGTACAGAGAGAAAGTTCTTCCTTGTTAAAACCCTAATTATATATGCTTTTGATTTTTGTAAAAATAGTTCTTTGGTGCCTATAGATGAATTTTTCTGTAATAAGTGCTATTAAAGTTATATTGAAACAACATTTTATGCCAAGTTTTTTCAAAGGGTATGGGTTTTTGGCTCAATTATGACAATATAGGCCATTTTAAAGTGTATTCTTATTATAAGAGTGTTGGGGGAAATGTCATGTAAAATAATAGGTCTCCATTAGTGTTGAAAATAATTTCTTTAGTTGCTCTAAAATTATTTCTTCAAAGAATCATTCATTCAGCAGGCATTTATTAAGCAGCTACAAAACAGCAGGCATGGTTGGTTGCAGGTGCTATGGAGACCTCTGTGACCTGTCAGACAAGCCTCCTGACTATGGCAGTGCATTCTGCTATTCCAGAGTCTCTTGTATTTGATCAGCATACCCTCCGCCCTAGCAGTCCTGTGATCAAAACCAGAGGCATTCAGCAGCACTTTGTCAGTTTTTATTTTGAGATGATCTTTCTTAGTTGCCTGGGCTGGCTTTGAACCTGCTATCTTCCTGCCACACCTTTATGGATGTGTGCCTCCATACCCAGTTTTTTTATTTAATGTAAGCATTGGGTGTCCTTGTGGCAGATGAACAGATTGTTTCTTTCCTAAATGTCTGAAAGTAGGAGACAGATGAGGGAGGAAGGTGTAAGATATTTCTGGCAAGATCTCTGACTTCCTACTTTTTTGGGAGTGGAATAAATACATCTCTTACTTCAATAGCAGAGTTAATAAGCCTGCTTGGTGATCAGCTCAGTGCTTGGCTTAGTGTTGTGTTAGGAAGTAAAATGTGTGCTTACTGAGGAGCATTTTAAACACCAGGTAGCCTCCTGGCTTTGAGCTGGTTGAAGGTTTTATGAATAAAGATAGACCTAGGGTGGGAAATCCTAGCAGTCCTGACCCATTTTTTTCTTTTGTTGAGATCTATGCTTGGCGTAGGTGGCAGTATTGATTTCCAGCTTGAGAACCTATCTTTGTGTTGGGCTTCTATTTAGTCAGCCTTCTACTATAAAATTCCGGCGAGAACCTTGGTGTCAGAGGACTGTGCATGGATGTTTGGCTTGCTTGCATTTGGGCCATGGGAGGTAGACCGTCACTCTGGGGCACAAGATGGCAAAGACCTGCCCTCACAGTGGCTGGGAGCAGGTCCAGGGTCTCCCTCAAGGGCGTACTTCTAATGACTTCTCCGTGAGCCCCTGCCTCGTGGAGCTGCTGCTGCTTCTCAAGGTTGCTGCAGGCTGTGGGCCACAGCCTCGCACATGCCTTTAGCCTTTAGCACCTGTCTTCTTGTCCTGTCTGCTCACCATTAGGGTCCTTGGCCGGGGCTAAGCAGCCCTGTCTTTAAGTTGTGGGGAAGTGTAGAATCTGTTGCTAGGGATTGTAAGTATGAAGAAAAACTAGTTTCCAGATGGAATGTTTTTTTTACTTCTGTTTTTCTGCTAAACTAATTAAAAGTCATGCTACGTTTTTCTTTTGAAACGGTCTTGCTGTGTCGCCTAGGCTGGCCTCAGACCCATGCCTCAGACTCACAAGTGCTGGAGTTACAGGCGTGCGCCATCGTAGGCCCACCATGCTCCTGCTCTTGCCACAGAACCGTTGGCTCGTAAATAGGAGGGAGTGTAGGGCAGTAAGGGTCATGTGCCCTCAGCTCCCTGATGTGCCGGGGTCAGGCGTCGGCATTAGTCGTCAGCAATGTGGTGGGGTGGGTGGTGGTTTTGTGTTAGAGGAGAAAGTGGAGGTGAGAAGTTAATGCAGCTGTTACGTGCTGGAACTGGTCATCATGTCCCCTCTGTGACTCCAGACTCTTCAGGTGACATTGCCTTTGATTTAATGCATCAGCTGTTGCTGAGGAGCTCGTGATGTGATACGTTGACCCTGCATTTTTAGGTGGCTGTCATTAGCAACATTTTAAAATCTGATTTTATCTTCAACTCGGGATGCAGACTCGTCCAGATAATGTAGGATAGGTATGTGCTCTCTGATGGTGTCTAGTCGTAGGCTCGAGGCTGTCAGAGTCTCCAGGCTTGTAGTGTCCAGAGTTGCTTCAAGTGTTTGACCATACTATGTTAATTCAGTGCTTCGGTCCTCTCAGCAGCATTTGTCTGTCATCTTACCCTTAATTTTGCTTTTTTGACTTCAAAAAATACTTTTTATTATAGGGAAAAAAAGCAAAAAACTTGCAGTCTCGTCTTTCTAAGGTAACTTTCCATTAATAGATAATTTCACTCTTTCTGTTCATGGAGACTTGAGATACTTAGAAGAATGTTAACCGCTTAGCTTGATCTTAAGTACAGAAGAATTTGCCTCTGAAATAAGGTATGGTAGAACTCTGTGTTCCTGAGACAAATGGGTTGCCCTAGCACAGAATTTATACTTAGAGCTTACTTGTATTTTAACCAAAGCAGTCCTTATGAATTTCTCGGTCCTCATCAGCTTTTTCAAAAATCTCTAAAGAAATACCTGTCAAGGGAGTACCTTTTGGTTCTTCAGTTTCTGGTGTCATTTTAACTGGTAGGTGGATCTCTGCATGACACTTCAGCTTATATTTATTTAAAGTAATGGAAGCTGTTTTTGTCTGTGAAATCTATTTCAGGCTGTGTGTGCAGTGGCGGTAGACAGCGCCCCCTCAGGCCTCACGCACCAGACGTGGTGCTTTTAGAGTGTGATCATCACCAGGAGCTGCAGCTGAAGTGCTGTGAGAAGTGGCTCAGGTGGGCAGGGCAGGTCACCGTGGGTTCATGACCTGGAAGGGCCTATCGCCCTCCTCTCTGCCCTTCTCTGCCTCCTGGCCATCTCTCTGTGAGCAGCCTTCTTCCGGCCAGGCCCTGTCACCCTGCGGTGTCTGCTTTGGAGGCAGCTCACAGCAGACTGAAACCTCAGAACCATGAGCCCAGATAAACATTTCCTGTAAGCTGTTGTGTCAGGTGCAGTGTCTTAGTGGTAGTGCAAGTGACTGTGCATGTTTCATTTCCTTAGGAAAATCTTCTGGTCATAAGAATACTGAGGTGTCAGTTTGTACCTGACTGGCTCATAGTGGTCCAGCAGATGAGCAGATTAATTTGAAGTGAATTAGGTTGAAATGTCACTTTATTTTTTTGTTTTAAAAATTTTAATTGCCAAGTAATCGTATATATCATGTACTTGTGAGGTACAAGTTTTGATGTTTCTGTCATGGAATGATTAAATGAAGCTAGTTAACAAGTCCACCTCACCATTTTCATATGATAACATTTAAAATCTGGTAATGTAAAAATAATGTGACACATTATTTCTTAGAGTCAGTGTTCTGTACAGTGGATCACTGATGCTTACTCCTCATAACTGAACTGTTGTACTTTTGATCAGCATCACTCCCAGCTACCACCTGGCTACCAGCCTCTGGTCACCACCATTCTGCTCTCAACTTTTCAGCATGTTTTTGGATTGCATGTACAAGTGAGATCAACCAGGGCCTGGCTTATTCTGCTTGGCATAGTGTCCTCCAGGATCACCCACGTGGTTATGAGCAACAGAACCTCCTCCTTACAACTCAACAGCATGTGCTATACAGGACATTTTCTGTATGTCTGGTGATTCAGTAATGGTCACTTAAGTTGATTCCCTCGTTTCTGATTATGAATAATGCTGCCGCGAATATGGAAATGCAAGCATCTCTTGGCTTTCTGACTGTACTCCTGTTGGGTGTATACCCAGAAGTGACAAGACAATGTAGCAAAACTGGTACAGAATTTCAGAGCTGGATATGAGGAAAACAGTAATAGCTACTACACTGTATGATCTGGTTGCTACAGGGTGGCGATGGGGTGTCGGTTGATTGTTTTTCGGCCTGTGCTCTGGTAGGCATGTGGTAGGCGTACGCTGCTTGCCAGGAAGGCTGGATTGCTGATTGCTTGGTGGGTGCCCCTAGGACCTGGCATGGTGGATTCTCGGGAGATGCTGGCTTTTCTCTTCCTGGTGAGCATGCAGCTAGATAAAAAAAGATGATATTGAAATTTTAATAGGTATCGTCATTGAATGAATAATGAAGTAACCTAATTAACCGTATTAGGTCTTCCCTTGTATGGACATGAGAGGGCATTCCACTTGTTTCCTCTGTTTGCTTTCTTTGTGCTACTGGGGATTGAACACAGGGCCTTCACACTGAATTATGTAGGGTTGTGGATATGGCTCAGCCACAGAGCCTCCCTGGCAAGTGCAGGGTTCTGAGTTTGGTTCCTGGCACCAAAACCAAGTGTGGACTTCACACTGACCTTTGTTAGAGTCAGGGTCTCACCGAGTTGCATAAGCTGGACTGAAACTTGTGATCCTGCTCAGCCTCCCAGAGCGATGGGATTACATTCATGTGCCCCTGTTACCTGCTTTGTGTCATCTGTTTTTTTCATCAGTGTTTTGCAGTTTTCAGTAAGTAGATCTTTAACTTTACATTTACTCGTTGGTATTTATTTATTGGTGCTGCAGTGAATCAGTGATTTTTCCTTTTTAAAGATAGTTTATTGTTAATATAAAGAAATATGACTGATTTTTGTGTTTTGATTTTCGTGCCCTGCAACTTTACTGAATTCTTTTGTCAGTTCTAATACTTTTTGGTGGCTTCATCAGGGATTTCTGTATGTTAAGTCATGACATCTGCCAACAGATAATTTTCACTTCTTTCTTTCCTCTTTGAATGCCCTTTGTTTTCCGGAATTGAACTCAGGACCTTGCACTTGACAGGCAGATGCTTGTGCTGCTGAGCTATATCCCTGTCCCTGGAGGCCTTTTAATTTCTTTTCTAACTTTTCTGGCTAGACCTTTCAGTACTGTGTCAAAGAAGTTGTGAGACTGGCCATATTTGTCTTGTTCCTGATCTTAGAGCTATGTTTTAGTTTTTCACTGTTGAATATGTTAGCTTGGGCTTTTCATATGTGGTCCTTATTGTATTGAGGTACATTCCATCTATCCTTGATTTACTGGCAGGTGTTTTTTTTTTTTTTTAAGAATGAAAGGATATGGGATTTTGTCAAATACTTTTTCTGAATAAATTATTGAGGTGACGATATGATTTTTAACCTTCATTCTGTTAAC